TAAAATTTATTTTCTGGTACTATTGATTGTGTCATCGGGAAAGACAACATTCAAACTAAATTGTTTTCACTATAAACATGATTAGTGTTTGATCGATACTATGTCAAAATCGATATTGTTTACAATTGAATTGTCGATTTATCTGTTTATGTACATTGTCCTACAAAATTTGAACCAGTTTCAAATTCTAACTTGGCAATGATTTTTAGAGCAATTTCTATCCCGTTCCTAACGTGATCCATGATCCGTCATCACTGATCGCAGTAGCAGCGATCTCTCGGCTCTCATTTACTGCGTCCGTTGCAGCATATCCATTGGCAGATCTCTGAACGGAGCGCAACCGAGGTTCTAATCATCTAAATTGTTTTAAAAATCATATTTAATAACTCTATTACTGTCCGTGAATATAATAATGTACAAAATAATGGGTCTAACTATTCAGGGAAAAGTTTTTGCTTGGATAAACTTGCGCGTGTGCGTATCGTCACTTTCGTTACGTCGCATAATACTAATTGATGTAATCGTGAAATCGGCAACTCAAATATAAGTTTGCGTTGGTGAACGAGCAGATGGCCTTTTTGTCAAAATTTTCTTTCACACTTTTCGCTTGTGAAATCTTAATGATCTTTGTGAAGTGTCCTTTAATGCAAAAGCAGATGCGGTTTCGTTCCAACTTTTTTCTCGCCCTTATTCGCATGAATGATCTTTGCAACCTTTGTGCATTATCCTTTGGTGCCTCAACAAATTTGATTTAATTCCAAATTTCTTCTCGCAATTATCGCATTCGTAATCTTTGCGACCTTCGTGGACTGCTTGTTGGTGCGTCAACAAATCCCTGTTAGATCTAAATTTCTTTTTGCATTTTTCGCACGTGAAATCTCTCCAACCTTCATGGACTGTCCTTTGGTGCAAACGCAAATGATATTTCTGTCCAAATTTCTTCTCGCATCTGTCACATGGGTAATCTTTGCGATATTCATGAACTTGTTTTTGGTGTCTTAGCAAATTCGATTTTTGTCCAAATTTCTTCTCGCATTTGTCACATGGGTAATCTTTGCGTCCTTCGTGNACTTCCTCGAATTTCTCTTCACTTTTATCCATTTCGATGCCTAAAATAAACGTTGGATCCTTCTATTTAACGGCCCGAAAATAGAATGAGTAAAATTTATATATTTTGGTATTATGGCTTGATTTTCAAACTAATATGAGATTAATATAAACATGATCAGTACTCGATAGTCAATTTCAAAATCGTTTATGAACAATTGTTTACAATAAAGTTGCCAATTTGTTGTCTTTACAATATTTGAACCAGTTTAAAATTCGAACTTAGCAGCAATTTCTTTGGAGAATTTTTAGACCTTCTAAAACTAAGTAGTTCAACTTGGTTCAAAACTTGGTAGTTCAAGAACTACCAAAAGAAAAAATGAATAATGAGACTTTTGACTAATTTTGAAGAAATATAGAAAAAATGTTTAGGTTTAAATTATATTATTGGATCGTTTTGTAGTTTTTTTTCAGAGATAACGTACTTTTATTATCATATCAGTTTATTGAAAAATAAGTGACCACCTGAAATTCGGCTAGAAATGAAAAACATTCTCGGTTGATCGTTGCTTAAACAGTTGCAGGTAACCACAATCTTTTCCACTCATTTATTTTAGAAAAATATCTGTATAAATAATCTATTCNTTGATCGTTGCTTAAACAGTTGCAGGTAACCACAATCGTTTCCACTCATTTATTTAAAAAAAATATCTGTATAAATAATCTATTCATATATTCACAATAGTCAAGCATCATTATGTTTCGAAATTATCGTTTATGTAATCTTTGTGATTCTCGTGAACGGTTTTTCGGTGTTTTCTTAAATTGCTTTTATGCTGAAATTTTTTCTCGCATTTGTCGCATGCGTAATCTTTCCGACCTTCATGGATTGTCTTTTGATGGTCGAGCAAATGCGTTTTTTGTCCAAATTTCATTTCACACTTTTCGCATGGGTAGTCTTTGCGACCTTCATGAAGAGTTTTTTGATGTGTAAGCAAATTCGATTTTTGTCCAAATTTTTTATCGCACTTGTCACATTCGAAATCTTTGCGACCTGCGTGTACCGTCTTTTGGTGGACAAGCAAAGTTACTTTTTGTCCAAATTTCTTCTCACATTTGTCACATGAATAATCTTTGCGACCTTCATGAATTGTCTTTTGGTGTCTGATCAAATTAATTTTTAGTCCAAATTTCTTCTTGCACTTATCACATGCAAAATCTTTACGACCTTCGTGAACTGTACTTTGGTGTTTTCTTAAGTCGCTTTGATCTCTCCATTTCGTCTCGCACTTATCGCATGCAAAATCTTTACGGCCTTCATGTAACGTCTGTTGGTGAAAAAGCAAACTCTGTTTGTGTCCAAATTTTTGTTCGCACTTGTCACAAGCGTGATCTTTGCGACCTTCGTGGACTATTTTTCGGTGTTTGTTCAAATTACCTCGATCTCCGTAGGTTTTCTCACACTTGTCGCACGCATAATCTTTACGACGTTCATGTACCGTTTTTTGGTGCCTGATCAAACTACCTCGTTCCCCGAATTTCTTTTCGCAATTGTTGCACGCGTAATCTTTGCGGCCTTCGTGGACTGTCTTTTGGTGCAAAAGTAAATGTGATTTTTGTACAAATTTCTTTCCACACTCGCCACATAAGTAATCTTTCAGGACTATAACTGCAAAATCTTTGTGACTATGGTGAACCGTTTTTATGTGCAAGAGTAGACTTTTTTTATTTCCAAATCTCTTGGCGCACTTTTCACATAAATAATCTTTGAAAACTTCGTGGAATATTTTGTTGTGTTTGAGTAAATTTGATTTATTTTCAAATTTCCTCTCGCACTTGTTGCATGCGAAATCTTCGCGATCTTTGTGTACTAATTTTTGGTGCGTAAATAAACTCGATTTGTTCACAAATTTCTTTTCGCACTTGTCACATTTTAGATATTCGCGGCTTCTGTGTACTGATATTTGGTGCCTACTCAAATGACTTCGGAACTCAAATTTTTGTTTGCATTTGTCGCAAGCATAATTTTTCTGAGCATTGTGAATCGTGTCTCGGTCTGTTATCAAGCTTGATTCTAATGTAAATTCCTCCTGACAAATATTATCGATGTTTTGTTTGTCGTCCGAAATAACAATGTCGCGTTCACTTAAATTATTTTTCGAGACATTTTTCGCGGATAATCTCTTACTTTTATCCATTTTAGTTTCTGAATTGAATAATTCTGAATTCCTTCAATTTGTTCCACGGAAACTGAATGAGTAAAAGTTATCTTTCATAATTATAACTTGAAAGTCAATATTCAAACCAATTTGTTTTTACTATAAACATAATCTATGTACTTGAGCGACGATATCATAATCGTTCATGATTTTATTGTTTACAATGAAATTAACGATATATTTGTTTATTCATTCTCCTTACAATATTGAATCTAATTCAAAATTCTAAATTAGCTATGATTTCTTGGAGAAATTTTTTCGTACTTCTAAAACTAAATGTACTTAAAAGAATTCTTTGTAGTATTGAGACCATAGATTCTTATACAATATATCATAAACTAGAAACAATTTTTATGTTTATTCCAAAATTAGCCATCCCTGTCTGCGGCCGACTTCACCCCATGGCGTGATTGCCCTGCTCCATAATCCTCCACCAATAAACAGTAATAAAAAGTTCATAAGCTCACAAGTTTAGGTAAAACACTATCAAATATTGACACTATTTTTATTAAAATTGTAGAAAAGTTTGTACGTGCACATCCGTATAAGTTTTTATATCTATTCTAATTTTGGAGGAATTATTCCAAGCATTATGACTGCAATGTATTCGAGAAATTTTTACATACAATAAATTATTTATATAAACGTGATTATCACCTGACTTACGATTGGACGCGCATATTTGGGTTAATGAAAAAAAACCGTCGTAATTTCTTTACCACCAATTGTTGATAGTCATGGGTTTAAAATAATCAGTGTTAATTTGAAAGAAATCTATTATCAAAGAAATATAGTCATTATAAACATGATTTTTATACAGTTAAGTCGTCTAATTATGTATAAAAATTTGCTTCAATGCAACTTTATTGATCTCGATCCAAAACATTCCTACAGTCGATATGTTGTATAATCTACTTTTAGTATTCATGATCTATTTCATTTAGGCTCATATTATTTCAGAAGTTTTAGGGCTCAATGGGGGCTTAAAATATAAAAAACTTTTATTTTATTTTTGAGTAGGATTCTTTGTCCCCTTTCCATTGCATAATTCGAAACATTACAATTTTGGTTATTCAGTGAGATACAGTTGTTTCCGTGAGCCAATTTCGTATACTTTCCGTGTTAATTATTTTCTTCTTTTGCGTTTTACGTTTTTACAAAGTCTACCTCAGTTTTTGTAACTTTCAGAATTGAGCTTCAGTACCAGGGTCGCGTACACTTCTTCAGAACATCAATGGTTACGGTCACAACCTCGGGCGAGGTGATCGAACTCTTTCGACTTTCAATCAGTAGATTCATGAAGGATGTCACAAAAAAAACGTATGAAAAAAAAATTGTGCTTCAGTGTATGTGCAGGGCAACTTGAGGTTCGGATCGGCACACCCGAGGTTGTGACCGTAACCATTGATGTTCTGAAGAAGTGTACGCGACCCTGGTGCTGTAAATCAATCGGTGCGCTCTGAATGTTACGGCAACTGAGGTACAATTTGTAAAAACGTAAAACACCAGAACACGCAAATGAAAAAAACATTTAACATGCAAAGCATACGAAAAAGGCTCACGGAAACAGCTTAATCTCAGTGAATGATAAAAATTTTGAAGTTTAAAAAAATGCAATTGAAAGAGGACAAAAAATCCTACTCGACAATGAAATGAATTTTTTTCGATTTTAAGCCCCCTTTGAGCCCTTAAGTCCTGGCGAAGGGGTAATTAGTATGAGATTCACAAATGTACTTCTGTTAAAATTTTTATTCAGCAACTACTTTATGATCGGACAAATTGACTTTTATTTACGCATCGACACGGCCAATTTTTGTCCTTGTGAGCAAATCAAATGTCGGAAACATAACAGCGTTTGTATGCAATAGTTTTTTCACTTTCATCATATACGTAATATTTACAAACTTCGAGAATTGTCCAAAAGGTAGTTTCGATGAATTGTATTAACTTTTTCCCGTGTCATTTCAAATTCGATGGAGTCTCATATTCATTTCCACCCTTGTTATGTTCGTTATCTTTACCAAGTTCATGGACTGTGTTTTGGTGTCTGACCAAATCTCCTTTTAGTCCAAACTTCTTTTCACATCTGTGGCATCCGTATCTTTGCGACCTTCGTGGACTATCTTGACCTTCGTGAAGTGTAATAGTAAATTCGATTTATGTCCAAAGTTCTTCTCTCACTTATCGCATGCAAAGTCATTGCGACCTTCATGGACCATCTTTCGATGCCTGATCAAATCTGAATTTTGGCCAAATATTTTCTCGCACTTGTAGCATGCATAATCTTTGCGACCTTCATGTACTGTCTTTTGGTGAGTGAGCAAACTCAACTTTCGTGTAAATTTTTTCTCGCACTTGTCGCATGCAAAATCTTTACGACCTTCGTGAACATTTTGTTGGTGTCTGATCAATTTCGATTTTTCTCCAAATTTTTGCTCGCACTTATCGCATCCGTAATCTTTGCGACCTTCGTGAACTGATTTTTGGTGTTTGATCAAATTACTTCGTTCCCCAAATTTCTTTTCGCAATTATGGCATGCAAAATCTTTGCGACCTTCGTGTACTGTTATGTGGTGCTTCATTAAATCTGTTTTTAGTGAAAATTTTTTTTCACACTTATCACATGCATAATCTTTGCGACCTTCATGAATGTTCTTTTGGTGTTTGAGCAAACTCGATTTTTGTGTAAATTTCTTCTCGCAATTATTGCATGCGTAATTTTTGCAACCATCATGTACTGTCTTTTGGTGTGTGATCAAATTTCCTCGTTCTCCAAATTTCTTCCCGCAATCATCGCAAGCAAAATCTCTGCGACCTTCGTGGACCATCTTTCGATGCTTGATCAAATCTGATTTTTGGCCAAATTTTTTCTCGCACTTGTAGCATGCATAATCTTTGCGACCTTCGTGCACTGTCCTCTGGTGTTTGAGCAAACCCGATTTTTGTCCAAATTTTTTATCGCAATTATCGCATATGTAATCTTTGCGACCTTCATGAACGTTCTTTTGGTGTAAGGTGAAACTCGATTTTTGTGTAAATTTCTTTCCACACTCGTCACATAAGTAATCTCTGCTACCTTCATGAATTGTCTTTTGGTGTAAGAGCAAACTCGATTTTTTTGTAAATTTTTTCTCGCAATTATCGCATGTAAAATCTTTGCGACCTTCGTGAACTGTTTTTTGGTGCAAAAGCAAATGATGTTTAAGTCCGAATTTCTTCTCGCACTTAACGCATGGGTAATCTTTGCGACCTTCATGAAGTGTCTTTTGGTGTAAGATCAAACTAGATTTTTGTGTAAATTTCTTTCCACACTCGTCACATAAGTAATCTCTGCTACCTTCATGAATTGTCTTTTGGTGTAAGAGCAAACTCGATTTTTGTGTAAATTTCATCTCGCAATTGTCGCATATATAATCTTTGCGACCTTCATGAAGTGTCTTTTGGTGTAAGAGCAAACTCGATTTTTTTGTAAATTTTTTCTCGCAATTATCGCATGTAAAATCTTTGCGACCATCGTGGACTGTTTTTTGATGCAAAAACAAATTATGTTTGAGTCCGAATTTCTTCTCGCAATTATCGCATGTAAAATCTTTGCGACCATCGTGGACTGAATTTTGGTGTTTTTTCAAGTAGTTTTGATCCCTGAATTTCGTCTCGCATTTGTTGCATGCATAATCTTTGCGACCTTCGTGAACTGTTTTTTGGTGCAAAAGCAAATTATGTTTATGTCCGAATCTCTTTTCGCACTTGTCACATACAAAATTTTTACGACATTCGTGGATTGTTTTTTGGTGCCTGATCAAAGTACTTCGTTCCCCGAATGACTTTTCGCAATGGTTGCACGGGTAATCTTTGCGGCCCTCGTGGACTGTCTTTTCGTGCAAAAGTAAATGCGATTTTTGCACAAATTTCTTTCCGCAATCGTCACATAAGTAATCTTTCAGTACTTTAACGGCCAAATCTTTTTGACCATCGTGCATTGTCTTTATGTGCAAGAGCAGACTTTTTTTATTTCCAAATCTCTTCGCACACTTTTCACACAAATAATCCTTGAAAACTTCGTGGAATATTTTGTTGTGTTTAAGTAAAGTTGATTTATTTTCAAATTTTCTCTCGCACTTGTTACATGAGAAATCTTCACGATTTTTGTGTACTAATTTTTGATGCGTTAACAAATTCGATTTCTTCACAAATTTCTTTTCACACTTGTCACATGCAAAATCATTGCGGCTTTTGTGTACTGAAATTTGGTGTCTACTCAAATGACTCCGGAACTCAAATTTTTCTTCGCATTTGTCGCATGCAAAAATTTTTTGTTCATTGTGAATAGTGCCTCGTGTTATCATACTTGCTTCCAATGTAAATTTCTCCTGACAAATATTATCTATGTTTTGTTTTTCGTCCGAAACAACCATGTCATGTGTACTTGAATTATCTTGAAAGACAACGTTTTTGGATTTCTCTTCACTTTTATCCATTTCAATGTCTAAAATAAACGTTGAATCCTTCTATTTCGTGCCCCGAAAATGTAATGAGTAAAATTTATATATTTTGGTATTATGGCTTGATTTTCAAACTAATATGATATTACTATAAACATGATCAGTGCTCGATCGAGACGATGTCAAAATCGTTATGAACATATTGTTTACTATTAACATTGATTTATTTGTTGTCCTTATAGTATTTGAACCAGTTTAAAATTCAAAGCGGTGATATGTTCGAAGAACTTTTGGACCTTTTAAAACTAAGTATTTCATAAATCTCTCTGGGACATCGAGTAATACAAAAAATTTTAACATTCATTCCAAATTTGCCGCCCCACGGCATCGCATGATTGGCATGCTCCATAACCCGCCATTGACTCTTCCGACTATACTACACGATGCTTAATTTTTCTCTCAATCAAATCTTATAAATAATTTTACATTGATGCAATGTTGTTAAAGTATCGAAAATCTATTTCATTTCATAACACGCAGATGTATTTCTAGTTTTAAGCATCTGTCGAAAAATGACTGAGAATTCACTCGCCAAAACATTTTTATTATCTCGAATTTAATACAAGCAATGGCCAACAATGGCCTCCTTAACTCTCTCATGTCCGATCGTGATTTAGCCATTAAGAGCAAATTGCCGAGTATTTTCGAGCTTGTGCGGGGCGAGCATGATCAGCTCAGCGTATATACGAGCAACCGCTCGCGTTATAATATTTACTCGAGAATTATAATGCGAATTATGCACGAGGAAAATTTTTCTTTGCAAAGCGAGTTGTTGGATCTTTACGAAAATCGCAATATTGAGTCTCAAAAGTATAATCATACCCGAAATCGTATTACGACGAGATATATGAGTGTTTCTGACTAACTTTTAAAATTGCACGTACTGATGTGTAAGTCAGGTAATTTACCATGCACAGTTCTGAAATTTTATCAGGGTCTTTAAGAAGACTTGAGAGATCTACACTTTTATTTTTGAGCGTTTTGGTGGCCCGTCCTTTTTGTATCGCACGTTTGAAAATCGATTTTACTCTTGAGTCAAAAAACGTACTGCGAATAAAATAAATTTTCGATAGCTTCTTAAAAAATGGACTATTAACCAAATGATCTGAAATTATCATGTTACCTTCCTTTATTCACATACTTTAGAAAAATTTGTGACCTGAACTTGATCCTCCTAAATTGGAAATTTCCCAGAATGTTTTCCGCGCGTACTGGATTATTTGAACTTTTAGCTTTTTTTATACATTTTCATTTTTTACAATGGACTATTGTTTTTTTTTATATCTGTATACATGTTTAAAAAGGGCTGGAAAAGACGAACAAAATGAGCCCAACCAGAACTCTGTCCCTTATTTAATAAGAATTGTACGCTGGATTGAACATTCGATAATCCTGCGTTAATCACTTAAAAATTTTTGAAAAAAATTTTTTTTTCATGAAATTTTTTTCTACTATGAATAAATTAATTAATTTATAAAAAAAATTTTTTTCATGGGAAATTTATAAACAATTTTTATAAAAAAATTTTTTTTTTCATGAAAAATTTTTATAAATATATTTTTTTTCATGAAAAATTTTTTTCTTATCATGAATAAATAAATTATTCAACAAATAATTTTTTTTCACACACTTTCTTTTTTTATTTAAAAAATTTTGCTATATCATCAAGGGCAAGGCCGTAAAAAAAAAATTTTACATTTAATTCATTTATAATGACTACGCAATTCGCCTACGTAGATAATTATGTGCGGGATGATATAAGTAATGTCACATGAAAACACATGAAAGAAAAAGGGGTTTTTTCGCTTCAAAAAGTGCATAAGGAAACTTGAAAAAATCCAAAGAAATTTAAGGTCATGTTTTTCAATGCATAAAACAGAGAAAAAAATTTTCGAGTTTGATATTGGCTCGTATCGCCGTATATAAATTTTCCAAATTTTTAATTATTTTATCTGAAGGCCTGAAGCCCTCGAAAAATCTGAAGAAATTCAAGGTGCTTATTTTTGTTGATATGTACTATTATGAATTTTTTCAGATTTTTTAATTACTTCAGGGCTTCAGAATGAATATAAATAAAGAATGGACGTTTATAGGGGTGGAAGGGGTAGGAGGGGGGGGATGGGGAGTAAAATTTTGGCTTTAGGATTTTTTTACCATTTACTATAACATATCAAAAGCGCATCTAGATCGGTGTCATTCGAAAATTTGAAGAAGTTTTATTTTGACCCACATTTAAATCGGGTTTCCCAAATGGACTATGGAGGAAAATAAAGCCCAAAGTTATTTTTGGGATTCTTTGTTGATAATATTCAAGAAAAATTCATTCCGGATACTGTGCCGCTAAATTTTTCATCAAAAATTTTTTTAGGCGTTATTTTAAAAGTTAGTCAGAATCACTCATATACTAGCTCGGTGAAAACGTTGTCGTTTGCGATTTGCGAATGCTGCAGCACAAAGAGAAAGAGAGAGAGAGACTTCGTCGAAACGCGTCGCAGGGCCTAATTAACGAAGTCTCCTCTCTCCGTCGACATAATAATGCGCGATGCTCTCTTACAATTGCGTACTGTTTGCGCGCCGATATTTACAAGGGAGAGAGCAAGAGAGGCGGTAATTTCGAGTCTGGTGCGCGTCTAGCTCGTTATTACGCCCGTCGTTTTTGCTCGCCTGTCGAATCGGGCGCATATTATTTATCGTCGAAAAACAAAATATATAGATCAAAACCGCCGTTACGTTAGTTAGGTTAGTCGCAATCTTATGTAGTTGAAACTTCAGAATCCAATCTTCGGAAAAACCAAAAATGAATTATCCGGACGAGCGATTCGCACTGACGAAGGATCGTCAAGCGGCTCTCGAGCTGTTGAGCCTTCAGGAAGCCGCGCGACTGGCCAACGATCAGCTCGCTGCCCAGAATGCTTTTAAGAGGGACGACCAGTGCACCCACATAGTTTTCGCTGTTTTGAATTTCGCGCAGCTGGTAAATCATCGTTAATAATGTTTTTTCCTTTCTCTTCCTCTCTTTCTTTGATGGCTATTTTGCGTTATTAAAAAATTTATACGAGGGAGAGCTAGTTTAGAACTATTAATAACCTTGAAGAGACGCGGCGATGAACGATAAAAAAAACAACTCGTAAATAGCAGTAGAAAATATAATTTTTATTTCTGAAATTTATACGTATCTACGTTTGAAACATTGAAAAAAATGTCGAATCGTCAACGAATCACACAACAAATTAATCATATACTCCTCGTCCATCTCTCTAATCTAAATCGAGCTTCTTGCCCTGCTTCTGAGCTCGTTCGGCGTCACGCTCGGCTTGGGCATATGCCTCTCTGGCTTCGATCTTCCAGGCCTCCCACAGGTTCTCCACCGCCTGGATCTTCTGGGCAATGAGGGCCTCACCTCTCTGCTCCAACTGCTTCAACTTGAAGGCCAAGACCTGACCGGTCTCCTTGGCGGTGGCCTTGTACTTGGATAGTTTCTCCTGGAGCTTGGCCTTCTCCTCGCGCAGAACCTGACTGACGAGCTGCTTGATATGTCCGCCCTCCTCGACGAGCTTGGCCAGCTGCTGCTTGCTCAGCTTGGCGTAGTGGCCGATCTCGGACTTGACCTTCTGCAGCACGCTGTCGATTCTCTCCTTGCCGACGCGATAGTTCTTGGTGACGAAGTTCTTGAAGCGGGCCCAGAGCTTGGGCTGGGAAACTTCCTGGCTGGATGGCGCGTCGTCGACCTCGTCGACGTCGTCGACTTTGGCGTGCGCCGTGGCCTGTAAAAATTCAATTTTTCGCGTCGATTATTGACACCTTTTTTTTTTATTTTAATATATAAATGTAAAAGAGAAATCGAAGGATGATCGTACCACCAGCAGAGCCGTGCCCAGGAAGAAGAGAATCCAAGTTTTCGAGAACATTTTTTTTTCTATTTTGCAGCTGTGTTCAACTCAATTAGCGACGAGTGCCGTCGTCGGGCCACTATATATCGGGCGAAAATCGTGATTCGAAAAATTTACGTACGCCAAAGTCACGAGCGTAAAGCGACGAAGTACACGTGCGTCAATTAGTTTAATGGCGCTGCGCGTGTCGATGCTTTCTAGAAAAGTAATTTTATAAAAAAAAAATAAAATAATGAAATTTGATTGACGTGTCTTTTACCTGTAGCGTCAATTTTTCGAGTAAAATTTTTCCCAAAAATTTCAGCCGATGGAAATATCGTATTTTTGAATCTATTACAAATTAATATTTACCGCATGTGGCGCTCGAAAATGTTGTAAAAAACGTTTCCAGCGTCTATTATCATCACTGAAAAATATGCTATTCCATTGCTGCGAGATTTAAAAAAATATGATTTCGACTGCAGTAGCGCACAATGAAATTGTAAAATGTATCGTAACATTGGTTTAATTAAAAAATTAACCATAACTTTACGATTATACATAATTAGTAAGCATATACGGGTGGATCCGCCAACTCGTTAATATTTCATTGATTCAAAAAAGTCATGTAAATGTTGTATGTAACTTTTTTTATCACGCGAACACGCTAAAAAGTTAAATATCATTAGATTCTATGACAACAATTTTATCTTTCCTGATAAAATCAGAACGATTTTCAATATGTCGTTTCGGGAATATATTATTTTGTGATAGAAACTGTATTTTTGAAAATATAGAGATTTTTCATGTGAAATCTGATATATCCGAAAAGCCCCATGGAGAATCGTCCTGATTTTTTCAAGAAAGATAAAATTTGTGCTGTATAATTCAAAGGTAATTTATATTTTTTATGTGCTTGCACGAGTAAAAAAGTTATTCGATATTGACACGACTGTTTTTTGACGATTCGGTGGATTTACCCATATACGTAACGTATACGTATCTTGCCTTTAAAACTTGAGAGATATTTCTAAATCGTTGTTTAGAAATATCAAACAAATCCAAACATGACATTAATAACACCAAAAGCCATTAGTGTTTTTCTCCTGTGGATCTTGACAATTTTGATGATTTGATATAGTACTCGATTAAATTACTCATGCGAACGAAATTCCGAACTTTTCATGTATATTCTCGTTCTCTCTCTCTCTGGAAGCTAGTGGGAGCTCTCGAGGAGATATTTCATCACGTGCATCATCGCATCAATAGAAAAATGCGAGAAAAAGACGCTTCGATAGCTGAATTACCAGAAGAGAGAAATCCTATCTTCTACGTGTACCCGGCGTGCATGGGAATCAGTTTTGTTCTGGCTCTGGTCTGGTCGTCCTCGAGGTTTTTCGAAAGGACACCGATCGTAGTAAGAATAATTTTTTTATGAGATTTTTGAATGAAGAAAAAATACATTTTTCACTTTGCTTTTTTTGCGTGTGTCTTAGGCGCTAATGGGAAATCTAGCGGGTGGAACGTTGATGCTGACAGGAGGAATTTACTGCATGTATCACGTGGAAAAGTACATCGATATCAATACAGTCGAAGATTCGCAATTGTTGAAGCATCCGATTTTCGTGCACAATTTAATCATGTGCATCGTCTCCGTGTTCGGCATGATATTGTACTTTATACCGGTCTGGGTATTGTTCGATCTTCATAAAAACGTAAAAATCAAATCTTTTCACGTTGTATATTCAATTTAATCTGCTGAGACATCAAATGAATTCTCGTTAATTCCAGCGCAAAAAATCAAGAAATCGAAACGATCAACAAGTAATCATTTTTGTCCACTCGGTGCTTCATTTCAAGTTTTACAGTGTTATCCGAACAAAAATATATCAAGGAGATAAAATGCTAAACTCTATTTTTAAATAACTCAACGCGATAGATAATATATCTTATCCGCGCGTTCATTATATTCGATCGCAATTCGTTGTCAACGATGTGGGCGATTTTTCGTTCAAACGCGATTCACCGCCCAACTAACGCCATCTTACGTCATCGGACACATTTAACTTTGTACGTAGAGTTATCCACGCACGATACTGCAAAACTTGTAAAAATGAGTCAGACGTCGGCTTGCAAAAGCGATGATTTATTAACTTGTTGATGTAGAAAATTCTCGACTGATCTATTTGCAGAGCGTCGAAGATGAGCCGGTAATTTTATACTGCTGTTGCGTGGACGTGTACCGATATCTAAAAGCCTCGAGGAAGGGCGAAGTTATGACCCACGAATTTCAAGTGGTTCAAATAATGTAATGTGTCTATTTTTACAGGGCTCGAAGGTATTTGATCAAACTTATAGTTATGTATTTATTATCAACCTGAATATTCGAATGTTTTTCTCATAGATCTCTGAAATGAAATAAAGACGATTCAAGAGTTATGAGAGGACTGTTTATTTTGTACACAATAAAAGAACCATCGCTTATTAATCGTAAGTATCTCGTAGTTAAAATAATTTCGATTCTTACATCAGTGCACACATTTACGATGACTTATGAAAATTGCGCGTTATGCGATGCACGAGTTCGAGTAGTTTCAATTGATTAATCGGGATGAATTTGCGACTCCACCCATGTTTGAGCGTGTCATTTGTTGTTCAAGCATCGAACCTCTACAACACAGGAATGTGAATTTCGCTAATTAATCTCGAAAGTTTTGCATGATGTATTACGCAGATGTTACTCGCAAAATGTATTCCTTATTTAATTCTTCAAAAATTTTTTCCATAAATTTGTAAAATCAAGAGAGAATCTTTATGAATTTTTTAATTAAAAAATAGTGAAAATAGGATATGATGCTCATCAATGATGATTAATATTGTAGTACCGGCTATCATTACAAAAACGTGAAATGACATCATCGCGTCATGCTACTAACCGATCTACAATACACTTGCCGTCATTCTGGCATACATTCAAACGTCAGATTTTTTTAAGCTAGCTTTATAACGATGACGGAAGCCTGCGAAATTACACTTCTTTGAATATATGTTTGATTAGTCAATATTAAAGATTTTTCGTACTGTTTTATGTTTGGATTCGTTGACCGGACAAAATCTGTATGATAACTTGGACACGTCGTGTAAATGTATGATAATTTTTGCAGAAATTAATAATTTTAAGTATATTGTAATGAAAATAAAATATTTCATTCGTATTATGCTCATGCGTTAATTATATAAACTTACGAGTTCGTAATTTAATAATTAAAAATGTTGTACTCCCTTGTATTTTTTAAAATAATTTACTTTTGTTTATTTTTATATCCATCTCATTGTTAAAATACATATGTTTAATGATTATCAAATTTATGTTATGTTTTTTATTTATCAAATTATAGTTTTCAAATATTGTGCTTACTCTTCTTTATCGACGGGTTATAGCAGCCGCACGTGTAGGCAGGCGGCAACTCACTGTGAGGTTAACTCTCTTTCTTCTTGCGTGCGAAACTGTCCACGCTAGTCGGTGAGTAACATGTGTTAACTTTTTATTCAATTAAGTTATAAATAATCGCCGTAATTAAACAAATACTGTTGTCGCGTGAACTCTATAACACCTAGTGATAGTTGGCCGGTGTTATTATTTTTCTATACTTAGCAAATTTATACTAAAACGCGTTTGTTTATATTTACAGATCAAGATGGGTCGACGACCAGCAAGATGGTGTGTATTTTCAATATTACTATCCTTATGATTATGAAACCTAACTAAAAAGTGTTATCAATTTCGCTAAATCTTATCAATTGCTCTTTCCAGTTATCGCTACTGCAAAAACAAGCCCTACCCGAAATCACGTTTCTGTCGTGGTGTGCCAGACCCTAAAATCCGCATCTTCGACTTGGGCAAGAAAAAGGCCTCCGTAGAGGATTTCCCACTATGTGTACATTTAGTGTCAGATGAGTATGAACAGCTCAGTTCGGAAGCTCTGGAAGCTGGACGTATTTGCTGCAACAAGTACCTTGTCAAGAACTCTGGTAAAGATCAGTTCCACATCAGAATGAGGGTACATCCCTTCCATGTTATCCGCATCAACAAAATGTTGTCGTGCGCTGGAGCTGATAGGTAAATAATACTTTCAATCCTTACTATTAAGTCCATTTGTCAACAATCAATAACATAGAGCTTTATAAAAAGCTGGAACACAGCCCTTTTGTAACTGTTTGATATTCTCTAGTCTATTATAATACTTTATTATAATACTTTTACCCTTAGTCCATTTGACAACAATCTATTATATTTTAAGGTTTATAAAAAAAAGTGAAACTTAGCCCTCCTGTAACTGTTAAATATATGCTAGTCTATTATAATACTTTATTATAATACTTATACTCTAAGTCCATTTGACAACAATCTATTATATTTTAAGATTTATAAAAAAAAAACTGAAACATAGCCCCTTTGCAACTGTTTGATATAGCTTATATTATCAAAAAGTTATAGTTTCTAGAAATTTTATGTTATATACAATTTTTCACATTTTCTTATCTGAGGCATTCTAAATGATAACATTAGTATTATTAATGTTACAAATAATAATCATCACCATATTAATCAATATTTTTTATCAAATTTAGGCTTCAAACTGGAATGAGAGGTGCCTTTGGTAAACCACAAGGTACCGTTGCTCGTGTCCACATTGGACAACCAATCATGTCAGTCAGATCCACTGACAGACATAAGGCGTCAGTCATTGAAGCTCTGCGTCGTGCCAAGTTCAAGTTCCCAGGTCGCCAAAAGATCTATGTCTCGAAGAAGTGGGGTTTCACTCGTTACAATCGTGCTGAGTACGAAGCTCTCAAGGCCGCTGGACGATTGGCCCTTGATGGGTGCAATGTTAAATACTTGCCAGAACATGGACCTCTGGCCGCATGGAAAAAACACAGGGAAACTCTGGCTGCTTAAGAACCTATCAATATTTGAAATTGTATAATTGCATTAATACAAAATTTCAAATCTAAAAAAACTCAGTTCTTGCTTCAATTTTTTTCATTGTCTATCAATTATTGAAACAGTTCATAATCATTCCAAGTACTTTATAATTCATGCATGCTGATTAAATACAATAACACATTGATTAATTTTCTCTATTAAAGCACTCGATGCATTGATTTTAACTCTAAAAAGACTATTACATGCTCGTTGAGTTTAAACATATCTTACAGAAGGCATCATCTTGTCGCATAAATCAATTCTCATGATTGAATCTCTTACTCGCTGTAAATCAATTTCTCTGACCCAAGAGAGATGAATGTACAAAAATCTTGCAGGAATGATTTTACTCAATTCATGAGATCACAGAATGTATTCTCAGTGTATTGCATGCAGTGTTCGATTTCGCAATTATAGGAATGTCGAATCTTCTTGCAAGGTGGGCAAGAGCAACGCATGCCTCACGATCAAAACAACTCGTATCATCGTGCGTGCAAAATCTATATACAGGTATACGCGCCAGAAAGAGAAAAGGTGTAACAATGAATAAAAAAAGGTCCCTCTCCGATGGTGTGTGATGTGCCTGTATGCGAGCGCGTAAGCACACCACTTTGTTATCATTATCATTATTCTCTATGGTAGTGGGGCGAACATATTCGCACACACCAAAGAAATAATACGCGGCGTCGGCGGCGGCGGTGGCACGAGCCGCAGCGGAGACGATCAACCATACGCAACTCGCGACTCGTATACTACTATATATATATCTGCTATTCACTGTGTGCGTGTGTGTGTGTGTATGTTTTGTTTGCTCACACATCGGCCGCACTCCTCAGTCGTTCTCCAGACGCCGATTCAGACGCCGCTAAAAGTTTCTCGCGAGTTCTCCGCACGACAGAGCTGCCAATTGTTGATTGTATATCTCACTTTTCGAGATCGTTCCTTCACGAATTTTCAAGTCAAAGTCAAGTAAGTGAACTTTGAACCGAGCATATATCATTACATTTTCACTCATTTGAGGCGTTTGGATTTCGGAGTCGAATATTTTATTTGTTTATAGTCTCGCGTCGCTAAAAAGGAGCGGCTGCGGCGTCGGCGTCGCATTTTATATACATATTACGATACGCGATAATATACCTGTTGCTGCGATCGCGAACTCGATCGGCGCGGTACCGATGTATAAACATATACTATAACTGCAATAATAATATTCGCGTAATCGATTATCTTTGCGCGATCATTAAATGCAGCGCGAAATCTCGTTCTCTCGCTCGAACGAGAACAAACTCGAGTCGTGCAATTGTGATAGGTCGTCTGAGTAAAAAAAATTTCGGCGTCCCTCCCTAAAGTGTTTACATGTGCCGCGTAATGTTTTGGTAAATCGAGATCGAATCTCTGCCGCTCGATACACGATAATACAACTGAGCTCGAAACATCGTATATGTAAATTCAATATTTACAGCTTACGTTCTTGTTTCTTTTCTCTGTACATCCATTTTTCCTCTATTTTCATCTCTCTCTCACGATGATCCAACGCGTCAACCATGCCGCGAGTAATATGCAGCCGCAGCCGAACGTGACGCAAACATTGTAAATATACACACACGCGTCGCGCGAAGGGGAAAAATGAAAAAAAAAGGAAAGAAAGAAACGAGCGATCTAAAACGGCGCTATTACATCGGCCGATCTCTGCCTGCTGCTGCTGCCTCTTGGCCGAGTCTGAGATGCCGCCGTGCTTTAACTGGAACGCGCTGAGATCACCGCGTTCGCGCGAGAGAGCGCATACTTTGCGCGATGTGTATAGTGTAGTGAGAGCGAACAGATCGAGAAATGAGATTTTTACCTTGGAACCGGTTGACCGAAGCGCACACACACACACATACACTCGCGCGCGATCGCGAATGCGTTATGTGCCTCGGGAAAAAGCGCAATATAATGTGTACGCGTAAAAATTTTGTACTCGCGGAGACCCAAATCGAGTGCAACTTTCGATTCATCACGATGGGCCGTGGAGGCGCGCGTCTTCGCTGCTTTCGTTTCCTCTCGACGATCGCGCGCTCAACTTTTATCGTATTATAAAACCCAGTGAAATCGACGTTCGTATCTTAATGCGTATTATATCGGATTAAAAATTTGCGTGTAAACACGAGAACGATCGGCGAAACAAAAAAAAAGAAAAAACGAGGGAAAAATATATAATCTAAAAATAGACGCGAGCACACGTACGCGTGTGTGCAGTTATTACGTGCAGCGAATTAAGAATAGTGGAAACAACGCCTTGGTGTTTGCGGAATAGATAAACAGCGCGCAGCGAAATATATGTGTAAGTGCGAGTCGCGTGTCGGCGGATCGTTATATATGAGTGTTGATTAGCGCCAGGTACCACGACGCCTATAGATGTATTTTTTTTTTTTGTCTCGTAAAGATACAATTTCGAAGAGGGCGTGAGGAGATCGGTATATATAAGAAGTAAAGACAAATCAAAGTGGTAAATACGATACTTTCGCGCCCTGAAATCCATAACGGCTTATTTTACGATAATCGGTTATGAACGAGTCGAGGGTGTGTTACAACCTCGTTCGATCGCGATTAAGATCGGCAATCAGATAAGCTGGAAATAATTGCGATACTTTGGTGATCGATACAAAAAAAATTTTTAAAAACCTCAAAATTAACAAATTCATTTTTAATATAAGCTGATCTTTTTGTAACGTCCTCGTTTTAGTAGAGAATAGAAGCACGCGTAAGCTATATAACGATTAGAGATAGAGAGAGATAAAAAAAATGACAATACTCGGAAACTAATATACATTTTGTTTACGTCTCATTCATGAAAAGGCGCCTCACGAGGATATTTCCGATCGTGTGCCGTGTATGCTGCGTGCAGTTTATCGTTCGATCCTAAAAAAGCACGAGTGATCTCACGCTTGGAAACAGCGCATCGCGGCTTTATTATTTTGACGCGGTGGATCAATTTATTCACGCATCGATCTTACGTATTGAATGGGGAATCGTATCCTACACGTGTCAATGATACAATAATATATAATATAAGCGGATCTCGCGAGGACGAGCCGATATAACGTCGCTTCTCACGATTTCTTAACGGCGCGTTCGCATCCTTCGATTACGAATTTCTTAAATATATAATCTCTAATACGATATATCTCTGTGACTCGTCGTTTTTCAAACATTATGGGCAATTTTGAGATGTGCACATACACACAAGTAGTGTTGTCGTTGCCGCTTTATGTATAATAACTCCGAACGCCCACGCGCGTCATAACCGCAGCTCCTCGCGCCGTTCGAGTATTGTATATGTATTATAGACGTATCAATCATTTCGCCCAACGATCCAAGGCCTACAACAATAACAACAACGATGATATACGCGCATGTTTAAGTTTTGTGTATTTATAAACTCGACGCCGCGCGTTCATGACTTTTGCAATTATAACATAATGACGACGACGACGACGATGATGATTTCGTCGCGATGCAATATAGCGATTATCTCATCCGCGAGCCACGTATAGATACTTGAAAAACGATCCACGAAAAAAAAATCGAGTGACTTGACCTGATTTTATATATGTATTTTAAAGAGGCGCTCAGTGATTTCGTCATTCCTCTGCGACTTTGGCATTTGCCGACGACGCGCCGTTAATTTTACACGAGTGCACGCGCGACAATCAAGCTCTATTGGTGTACGCATGATTCGCACGGTATACAACGAACTTTTTGCGAATTTTATCCACATACAAAACGATCGTAAAGTTTCTCGGTTTCCGGTGCGCTGCAGATCACGGGCGCAGGGCCCTCTTTTGAACGCGCGAGGGCGTTGCACTCTGTACACTCGTGTTGCACAAAAACAACGAACGAGAGACGTGCCCACCCTATCGGGTTCTTTTGAAATAAAAGCTTCAATATTTAGTCTCGCGTTCGCGAGACTCCTTTTTAGTAATAATAGATTCTCTTGTTTATTGCCTCGAGATCGACTTCCGATTCGCGGCTTGCTCTCGGTGAATCATATACTCGTCTCGATTGAAAATAGAACCATTTGTTGCTCATTAATATGCGCGCGCGAGTGCGACAACGCGATTACGATGAATCAAAAATGTGCACACGACCTCGCGCGACACAACGCGAAAATACATTTCGATTCTCGCGATGTAACAAGTGACAATGATCGAGGCATTTGGTCGTAACGATAAAAAAAAAAGATAGATAGAAAGAGAAAAGCCAACGATCTATACCTATACGCGCGCAGTGTTTACAAACATTTCAGGTCGCGCGCGCGTCTGCTGCTGCCGTTCGGAGCTGTTTACCTTTTTCCTCCTGCGCGCTGCGCCGTTGTACATTACCGGGCAGTTAATCGATCGAACGATCGACATACCAGCGCTGATCATTGAACCACGCACGGATTCTTTTAAACTCGAGCTTTAAACTGCCTCGTAAATCTATTAATGTGTTTCTCTGCTTTGAGTACGCGCACGTGTGCGAGGCGTTTCGCAGCCAGCCTCGAGCAGCAGTAGTACTTCAGCCACTTTATAATACAAAATCCAATTTGTAGGCTATTCGTAATAATAACGTAACAATCGGTACTTAATGAACATTTATGTTCGTATACATCTTCTCTGAAATTTAAGCACGACGATGAATTGATTTTTTCTTCTTCGCACGTGTGGCTGTACCTCGAGGCGTGCGTCTGACTCGTTGTCTAACGAGCGAAGCTTTTCCATCGATCATTTCTACGATTATTCATCGTGGAAAGCCCGTCCGATAACAAAGAATTGTAACGTACGTCAAGGACGACGTTAAGGGTTTTTTCTCTCTCTCTCTCACACGCGTGGCCGTGTTTTATAGATTAGCGTGCGGTAATGGGAAAAAAGGGTTGTTTATCTCGGGGTCGATGTGTAGATTAGCGTGTCCTACATGTAAATTTTCACGCGATCGTTAAAGCTCGCCTTAACGGCGATTTTTCTTTAACGATCGGTCAAGGATGCGCGCGTAAGAGAGAGAGAGAGAGAGAGAGAAAAAAAAGAAAGTAATGTTTACGCGATAAACACGCGGCGGGATCTTTAGACATTTCGAATTATTAGCATCCGTTGGCTATAATATAAGCTCGCGACCTCGTTCTGCTAAATTTTATGATAAATCTATAAATTCTTTCGCGCACGTGCCACAAAAAACGATTTTTTCTTTCTCTCCTTTTTTTTCTGCTTCGTTCCTTCCTCTCGTTTGGGCGTAAACGTATATCAGCCGGGACTCGGGAGAGCCGCGTGCGTTATCGAAATCACCGCAGCAGCAAAACGGCAGCGCGAGCGCGGCGAAAATTCAATTTCTTATCTCTCGGCGTTGGCTTGTTTTTGATCGGCGGCCGAGAATCCGACGAATGTCAGCGCGCGCGTGGCAGAGTTTGAAAAAAAAAGAAATAGATGCAATTTGCACGACGTCGGCGATGCAGAAACATCAAGATCCCCAACGCGGCGAGCGGAATTGATTATAAATTCAAGGCTCTAAAGCGTGTATTTTTCTGTTTTTATTTTCATTGCCCGTTGGTTCTCTCGGCGTACGAGTAGACGTACATGTCGTAAATAAAAATTATAGTTGAATCCGTCATAAAAATTCTAATACATACGCATTATGAATTTATCAATACTCGACACGACTAATTAAAAATTTTTTTCTCATTTGTTATTCATCCACACAGATAATTTTGGTGTAAACCCTACATATACCATACATATACCTATATCACTTGGTGTATCCTCGTAGCGGTCGTTTATAAAGCGAATATATATCGGGAAATATGGGAAACACACGAAGCTCCATCGCACGTGCCGTAATGTATGTAACGTATATAGACACACACACACGCACAAACAAACGCAGAAATCGCTTATCTATATGTAATGTGGCTACTCTCGAGTCTGGTCGTGAATCATTACGTACAATAGCTCATATGTCCCATTATGCCATATGTGTTTCTCGTAGTGTATACATAAATCATCATCTCATCGTTTGCTTGAGTAATTATTATCTTAAATATATACGGGAATTTGTCGGATATTTACGCTTCTAGGTAAGCGGGAAGTATGCGAGCTTTTAGCGTAGTTACACGAGCTTTTTTATTTACATGGGAATATTAGAGGTTTACGTATTTGTGCGGCGAAAGCTCGCAATATGTATAGCAAAAGGTGCGTGCGGGCATGTGTGTATTTTAAAACCTATAGCCGCAAGCTCGACTCATGTGTAAATATGTGTGTGTGTGTGCGAGTTCTCGTGGCGCCAATGTATAGACTTCATGGTGCTAACCCACTTTAACCCAGAGAGAGAGAGAGCAAAAAAAGAAGCTCGCGAGCCTACTTCGCGCCGCACTTCGATCGTCGCGCAGTACTACACGCTATATACATTTTTTTGTCAATCTCTTGCAACACGTACTTATATAATTTATCGTATTGACCATTGTACAGCCCGACCGTAAATTAAAATTTATTTATACGCGGTTTCGAGAGCTTTTTTTGCGCTCTTATACACACACACTCGGCCTGCAGTAGTAAATGTGTCAAGCTCTCGCGAGCTTTACACACAACGACCGATATCGTTACAAAGTGTGTGCGTATATAACTGCACCGCACCCTCTCGATACACGCCGCCGTCTATATTAGGCTAACCCGAGTAAGAAAAAAAAGCTTCGTTTATTTTCTTCTTTGTTTTCTCCTCGTTCTTTTTTTTTTCGCGTGTCGGCCGCCGCCGCCACCGTCGCAATGACCCGTGTGCGTTCTATACACGTTTGCACAGCTTGTGTGTATTGAACATGTACACGGGGTCGAGCGTTGAAAAAAAAAAAAAAAAAAAGAAACGAGGTTTATCGCGACCGACACGAAGACATTTCAATGACCGCGTATCATCATAATCATCATAATCGTCGTATATTATGGCTTTTCTTTGTTCGAGTCGAATTATTATTATTATTATTATTATTATTATTATTATAAACGGGGGTGGAGATTTGAATTTTTTATATAAATAGAAAACTTTACATACGTTATATGTAGCCCGTTTTTTAAATTACTATATCGTACGATCATGTGTATAATATTTTTACCATTCATACGAATTTGACGTACTGCTATTACGGCGAGATGCGAATAAATCATGAGCATGTGAAACTTTGCGCGTACTTTACTTATATATAATTTACAAGAAAGCTCGGCGTCGACGACGACGTATTTTTACGGCCTAATGACATTTTTATTTATTTATTATTTTTTGTAACGCGTCGTCTTGCATCGTGAGAGAAAAATCTCCATCGATCGAGGTTGAGACTAATTTTGGATATCTTTATGTGTTTCACAAAAAAAAATCCATGAACTGAATCTCTTTGTAGAAGTCGAACATAAGGCACACTCGCACGCACGCACGATTCGTCGGATCAAGGTTCGAGGGTACATTCGAATGTACGATCGTGTACAAAGATCCCGAGAAGCGAACTTATATTGCTGTAAATGTCTTTTTAACGAAATCGTAAAGATCTTAAATGTGAAAAATGTCACGTAATATTTCTATATACGCTTCGATGTCCATTAACCATTGTCATAATAAATATAATAAAAGCGACCTCATTATTACGACTCGACTCATTGTTGTTTTTTCCGTTATATGTTTTCAGAACCGCAAAACTGGCGAAAATGGCAAACGTATCCAGGCTCACGCTCATCAAGCTCTTGGAGCTCGTAAGTATACGATAATAACAATTTTATAACATTATTTAAAAAAAAAATCAATCGATATTTGTCGAGCGTCGTGTCGGCACGCACCGCCGATAACGAGATTCCAACATCGTGTTCAGCGAAGAGAGCCCCGGACGATGATTCAATATAGTGCCATCCGAAGTAAAGAAAAAAAGAAAGAAAAAAAAAATAACGCACTCGTCAGGCGCGCGCGAATTCCTATTATACTATATTCGAAGTCGTGACATCACACACACACACCGGTGCGGCGAGCTCGAGCGCAATTCCAAAGCGTGTGAATCACGGCCGAACAAAAAATCGATTTTATCATCATCGATTAAATCCATCGAACTGTGTCAGATGTATAATCGCGAGTCTAATATGCATCTCGGTAATCTATTGTCCCCCCTTCTGCTTTTACGAGTCTATTATTATACTTTATGTTATCCGGCGATTAGTAATAATGCGAGAGCTGTTTAACGATTGGGATATATGTGTATTGCCACGGAAATACAAATAGTGGTGCAGTATCGTAATCTATCTGTCATTGGATCGGCACGATGTTTATACACTGAGCCGTCTAAAATAACATGTTTGTCTTCCGAGTTTCCATGAAAGAGACGAAGATGGAAAAAATGAGAGAAGAAAAAACTCGAAACAAAAAAATAAGGCGTACATCGACCAATTCGTAATTCGTGGCGCTCTCGATTCACTGCTGCGCACGCATGCCTACGCACGGGCTCACGTAGTTTCGATCTCAACGCTAGATGGCTTCGATCGATTTTTTACGAGCCCACAAGCGAGTAATCAAAAAAAGAGTACAAGTAGCGGAGGCGTTCGAGCTACAAGACAAGATCATACTTCACAGGATCATTTCTGTAGTGTATCTTCACAGACTCTCTACCCAAAGTAGGAGTCGATGCAGCCACGAGGATGAGACATGGCTGCCCATTCTGAGCGTGAGGCTGGCGGCCTCGAGTCTCCCATTGCGGAGACTCGGCCTGCCGACGATGATCGTTCACCTTCGGGTTTCATACCCGAAGGGATGGATGGGTAGCTGTCTGAGTGGTACTGTATATTATTCAAACCAAACAAAAAATTATGGATAGAAATCCGTATCTACGGCAAAGATGAATGAATATTCTTTGTATGCGCCACGCCTTCGACTTTTGTATGAGTGGCCGCTTCCATGAGCATTCATAGCGTTCACACAAAATTTTTACGTTTGAGGCATGTCTGACTTACAAAGCCGAACTAAACGAACTGGTGTACACTCATCGTCTGTCGACACACTAAAAATGATAATTAATGATGTTTTAATTTTTGATGATAAAATCAATTTAAAAGTTAATTCTCTTCTTTTAGAACTTTTTTGAAGGACACTAACATTATGGAAAGTGATGAATAATACCTCATAAAAAAAAAAAGGTCTCAACTAAGTTTCGATATAACATTTTATTGAATACTCAAATGACCATTATTGTACAGCCGTTTGATTAATGATTGAATATTTATTTGAAATTTTTCATATTTTGTTTTCAATTTTAATTTCTTTATAATTAAACCATTTCATTTGTTTGGATAATAAGTTTTTAATTTACGGAATTTCATTAAAGTTTCACACTCAATTCGTATAATTATGTTTCGACCCATTGTTAAAACACTCCAGCCTTCAACATTGTCGAGACAATTCAATCGTCGAAAATGTAACCCACAGAAAATCCTTCGCTCCAGCGATTAACAGAAACAAAAAAAATAATACATAAAAACAGGAGTAGGCATGTTGCAACAATCCGTTCGCATTGTTGTTTTGCTATTTGGGAATACGCACTGTACAATAAACGCGTCTACATGAAAAATTATGCAACAATTTGCTCCTATCATACGAGCTGTTTTTACGTCTACGAAATAACCCCGACCTCTACCTTGTGTCGTGGAGTTGTTTTACACATCCGACATATCCGCGAGTCGTAGATACGTACCATTATTATGATCGTCGTTGCCGTATCCTTCCGCGTGTGTACATACTAAGATGTAAGCGATACGTCGCACCCACGACTGCTCGAATGATTCTCTTCTCATTTTTTTCATGTTTTGTTTTTTTGTTGTACGTTGCATCTTGGACCGCGATGATTTTTCAAGGTCGTGTTCCAAAACAGAATTTTTACGCTCAATAATAATAAAAAAAAAAAACGAGCTCGAGGTCTGAACAATATGGTCTGCTCGATTTAGCTATCGTCATTTTTCAAACGACGCGCGATGCGTAAGAGAGAAAATTCAGGGATTTTCCCCTTAGCGAAACGCACGCTCGGAATAAACAATTGATAATTATAAATGAAAAAAGAGAGAGGAGAAAAAGATTGTAATGCTCACCGGCACTTAACTTTTCATTCTTTCGTCGCGAGGTGTGCTGCGTATAATAATATCGTTAATATTATGTACATACACCGCAACTATCAAACGTATTGTTTAATAATTCATACAGGAACGTTAGACGCGAGGACAAAGTATTTAATTACGATACATAAATATATAGATCGTCGCACCGCGAGACTCAGAGGCAAAAACATTCCTCGACGATCGCGTCAGTATAGTCGATCTGCGTTTCCACTGTCTGCGGTGATTTTTTTTTACACCCGAAGTTAAATTATCAACGATTTTGACATACACGTACGTGAGAACGAGAAAATGAGAAATTCCGCGTGGCGAATCGGTGGCGGCAGACGGAGGAAAATACCAACACGATCCATATTTCTTCGGGGGAGAAGGCGCGACTACAGCTCTCTTCGTCGTCGCTTAGTCATACGAACGAGCGATGCGCCTTAATTTCATTGACCCACTTTGCACTCCTGCTAATACGACTGCCTACCGTATGCGCGCGTGAGTGAAATTTCAAAATCCACGCGTAGATACGTGTTCGATTTCGAAAATATTTGAAAAAAAATTAACGAACCATAAACGATGATTTTCTAAAAAAAAATTTTTTTTTTCCAGATCCTCGTGTGCGTCCTCATCGGGCTGCATTACCACTCGTACATCGGCACCTTGAACGATGCCATGCTCGTCACCGGCACGTTCTGCGGCTACCTCATCATTCTCGTCGGCCTGTTCGCCGGCGCCGTCATGGGCACGCCCGTCAACCGACGAGTTGTAAGTTTTTTTTCTCATGTATAAACCTTCCGAATAATTTTTCTTTCTCTAAATTATATTTATTAAAATTTTCCCTCGTTCTACAGGATCTCTTCTTCAGTCTGGTCGGATGCGCCCTGTTCATCGCCTCGGGCTCGCTGATCATCGACCACGACTACGCGAGGAACGACAAGAGCACGGCCAAGGGCTCGATCGCCATCATCGAGGGTATCATCTTCTTCATCGACGCCATACTCACCTTCAGAGGAGAGAACTAAATTGAAATGAACAAAAAATAAAAAAGAGAGAAAAAAAATACTCTATACCGAGAGATATATATGTAAACGATATAAATTATATATTCGTATTTTTATGTATAACTCCTCACTGTCTATGTAATGATTAATTATTAAATTGATACGATTAGTATGTATGATATATGCCCGTCGCATATTGTTCCATGCTGCTGAGTACGTTTGGAGAAAAGATCGATTACTTTCTCTTTTTTTTTTCAAGTCGATTAAGCGCATGCGAAAAAAACGACGTTGTATTTAAAAAATACGTATGAACGTTATCGTATATATAAATTGAGTACAAAAAACAAGAAAAAATTATTATACGCAATCAAATGTGAAAATCTACGTGAGTGAATGAGCGTATAACGATATCGCTGTTAAACAATATCAAAATCTATCGCAACAACAACAACAATTCAATATACGTTATATTACATGTATATTGCGCGATTTTAAAAGCCATATTTTATCATTGTTGCCTGAATATGTATAGATTTTAACTAATAAGAGCGTAATCGTATTATATACAATATTGTATTTTTTTTTTAGTATACAGCAGTAAGAAAATTTACGAAAATTTGGCTAACTTACGCTTTCGTGTCTCGCTCAAGGCCAGAGATATTTAATGTTATTATTTTTTTTTACAATTCTCCGTTTTATCACACAAAGCTGATATAAATTAAATTATTTATACGACCGAACACTGTTTTTTTTATATGTTTCAGTAAAGAAATTTTAAAAGCTTCGAAACTACGCATTACTCGTTGTTGTTTTTTTTTGCGATTCAATGTATTTCGAAATAAATAATTCGTTTAAAATTGAATTTTTCGTTAATTATTAGTATCGTAGCTCTCCTCGTGCGAATCAACAGGGAAATGCCAGACACGCACGAATACACAAATTTATAAAGAAATCCATCTCCACGTAAATATCCGTAAAAAGTATATTTTTATATCGTTATATACATATCGAGCGAAAGCAAAAAAACAAGAAAAAAATTAAAAGCATCTCTCGAAAGCCAGCGCCAAATTGCAGAGATCCTCGTTACTCAGATGTCGGATTATCCTCTCGGAGCAGGGATCGGGCAGGGTGACGTCGTACACGTAGCTCAGCTGCTGCTTCGTAGCCTCGAGCAGTATCGACCTGATCAGGCCCTTGACGAACTGCTTGATGATCATGGCGTTGTAGAGGACGAAGTCGGCGCGACAGTTGTCGCGTATCGCCGCGCGAAATCGCTCGTTCTTTATTCGGACGGCGACCTCGTTGACGTTGAGAAAGAGCAGATCGTAGAACGAGGCGTAGCGATCGATCATGCGTAGCTTGAGTTTGGCCACCTCGAGGCGGCAGCGCTCCGTGAAGGATCGTTCCTCGGCGGCGTTCTCGCCGCCGCCGCTGCTCTTGCGCGCGTCGATGATGGCCTCGCACTCGAGGAACTGTCGCTTGACGCCCGCCTCGACGTGCAAACCCGCCACCTCCAGTTTCCTGATGTGCTCGAGCATCAGGCCGATCTTCTCGCGATTGCTCAACACCGATCGCTCGCTCAGATAGAACGCCACGTTCATCGCGTTCACGTCGCCGAAATCCAGCAGATGCCTCAACTCGCTCAGGCTGCAGTTCTCGATGTGCCTGATGCTCGACTCCACGGCCATGTAACGCAGCATCAGCAGCTCGTTGCTGCGATTCGCCCCGAGCTCCGATTTTCTGGCCAGCATCAGGGCGATGATGTCGAGGAACGCCTCCATCTCGCGCACGTCGAAGTTGCCGCTCGGGTCGCGCTTCGGCATGCGATAGTGAAAGAAGCAGACCCCCGCGACGTTGGCGCCGTGATCCAGCAGCATCTTCACGGTGTGGCGCAGATAGGCGGACACGGCCATCTGCAGGGCGCTGAGACCGGCGGAGTTTCGCGCGTCCTTGTCGGCGCCGTACTTGAGCAGAGTGTCGACGAGCTCGGCTTTCTCCTCGTCGGGCAGGTCCCGCTCTCTCGACGAGTAATTATTGTTGTTGCAGCCGTTGATTTTGTTGTTTTTATTGCTGCTGCCGCTCTGATGATGATGATTGAAGAGGCGCCTGCCGTCGATCAGCAGATGCAGCAGCGTGTCCTTGCCGCTGGCCGTGGCGTACCCGACGTTGGCATCGGCGTTGATGAGGCAGAAGAATTTTTCCCTCTGTATGTCGCGGAACACCGCCTGCACCTCGCGCCAAAAGTCCTCGTTGTAGCTCGCGACCCTCGTAGCCACTATGCCCCTGAGCAATCGCATATCGCACTTGAACACGTGAAACAGGGGTGGCGTGTCGTTGACGTCCAGCGCCTCGACGTCCGCGTGAAAACGCAGCAGCAGCCGGACTATGTCGACCTGGCCGTACTCCTGCTTCACCAGTCGCAACACGTCCTGGGGGCTCTCGATCTCGGCCTCGCGCACCGCGTCGCAGAGCCTGCGCGAATTGAAGCGACAGGCCATGTGCAGCGGCACGCGCTGAAAACGATCGCGCGCGTTGACGTTGGCGCCGTACTTGAGCAGCAGCTCCGCGACCTCGAGATTCTCGTACTTGCAGGCCAGATGCAGCGGCCGATAGAACACGTAGTCGCGGCCGTAGAAGCTCTTCTCGAGGAAGGTGTTGGCGTTGACGCCGTTCTCGAGATAGGCGTGAGCCACGCGCCAATTGTTGCGCACGCAGGCGATGTGAAAGTGCGAGAGGCCGTAGCCGGTGAAGGGGTTGCAGCGACCGTCGCGACAGCGCGCCAGGAGGAGATCGACCATCTCCTGGTTGCGCATCTCGAAGGCCAGATGGACGGGCGTCTGCTTCTGGAAGTTGGTGGCGTTGACGTCGGCGCCGAAGTTCAGGAGGAGGCGGACGAGCTCGAGGTCCTGATTGAAGACCGCGACGTGGAGGGGACTGTCGGAGACTCGGTCGAGCTCCTTGTCGTTGACGCGGCAGCCCTCCTTGAGGAGCCAGGTGATGGTGCCGCGATCGCGATGGAGGCAGGCGTCCTTGAGCGCCTCGTAGTGAGACTCGTGGCTGCGAAGCTGTTGTTGGGCTTGCTGTTGTTGTTGTCGAGTGCTGGGCATGATTCGACGATGATAGCCGTAGGCCGACGGGGGCGAGTTGCCGTTCATGATCGCGGTGGTGATTCAATGCATGCGTGTGCGTGTGCGAAGGCTGAGTTTTGTTATACAGCAGAAGCGTGAGAAGCTGCAAAAATAATTTTGAGGCAGACGTGATTGCAAGCGAGAATTAACGATGACCATATAGATTGGACTGGACACAGTTGTACAAAAGTTGACGAGACTTTTTGACTTGACGTCGATGAATGAACAAGAAAGTAATAATAGGATACTTATACCAGTGATTGACTGCTTTCGACCAGTAAAATGACCACGTTTGGATTTTTTTCCTTGTTAAATTATGATCGAACATGGAAAACAAGATGCATCGTTCACTAAAGAATTGAATAACGTACATAAAAATATATTTTTAATTGTTTTTCATATGATATTTTCCAAAATGGTCATTCACTGGTACCCGGTCATTGATTGGTCCGACTACGCTAAAAACAAACAAGACATTGGCATAGCAGAGAAATGCATCCTCAAAGAGCACAATGAAGAAATATAAACTGACGTTTAATCGTGTTAGTTTGTATAATTTCATGCGAGCGCATTTCATATTGTAAACAAAAAACAAGTTTATAGACTGTAGACATCAATCGGTGCGTATCGTATTCTATCGAACTCTGTGGTCGCAACGTACACGCGTGTCCACATAATATATAACGAGCTTTGTTTCTAGCCACCGATCGATTTTGTACTACGTGCGCGCACAACGAGACATGTTGTAACAATGCGCCGATTGCGCTTATACGAGTATGTATACGAGACCATTGCACGAGCGGCGATGTGATCGCGGAACCGCGAATTCCACGCTGCGCAAAAAGTATACAGTGCAACCTGTTGTGTGTATATAAAGTTAGGTATATACCGATAAATCGGCTCGACCAGCCGATTATACCGCGTGTACACGTGTATTTTTTTTTTTTTTTTTTTTTAATTCGCAAGGATTCGGGTCAAGCGATACGATACAGAGCAGCATGAGCGACGTCGGCTCGTGTACATAATAGCAAATAGATATATCGTGCATAGTCTCGATAAGTACGACTAAGCGTTCGGAGATATTATGTTTATAGGCTTATTTTTCAATGCATAGCAGGTGTACCGTATAATTATTATTATATCGTCGAATATATATTTTTCGTTTCGCAGTGAGCGCGCGCGTGTGCGAGTATATAATTGATAAAACGATATAGTACTATGTGCAAAAATAGACGCGGGATTCGATCGATGGATGTGGCCGTGCGCGCGTTGCATTATATCGATTTCGAAGCTATATCCGTTTGTATCTTGTATCGACGAGCCGAAACCGTCTTCGCGAAATATTTTTTTTTTTTATAAAAATATAAAAAACTGAATCTGGCTGCACGAATATTACGATACGCCTCGATGTTCTTGGCTCGGGTGTAACAACGCGAAGAAAATCGGCTGGTTACACAATGACTGTTTTTTTTTGCTTCTTCCATACGTTTCGCGTGCTCCGCTCGTTAAAAAAAAAAAACGCCGACGTATAAGAGTGCGATCATTTACGTAGACGAGTAATACGGGTCCGGTGGTTAGTTCAACGGTGCATGGTATACAGAGAAACGAGCGGGAAAAGGCCACGCACGCAGGCACGCATATACAAGACGGATCGTCGTCTTGGCTTAAATAGCGCAACGGCCGACAGCGACGACGTTATTGACAAATATCTATTCGACTATATATAAAGCGTGCGACGTATAAAATAAACACACGGACAAGGTGATGCGTGCGCGACTATTCACGCAGGGGGGAGTGATACACAAGGTCGAGAAATCAAAAAAAAAAAAAGTTAAAAAGAAAAAGAATAAAAATTTTATATCGTTCATGTACTCAGGCTTACACAAGTAACGCCTTGCTGGACGACGACCACGATGTCTATGCGATTCGCCTGCGCTGCACTGCGTGTGTGTTGGTAAAAAGTAAAAAAAAAAAAATAGAGAGTAGATAACGAGCTTTGATAATGCGTCTTCAAGTCAGTGTGTGCATGGTTTGCTACGCGCGCACTTTACACGTTATACACATTCGCGCACACTCACGAAACACTGCGAGACGGAGAAAACGGGCGCGCGCGGGTCGGTTCCGATCGGTACGCACGAGCGCGAAAAGAAAGAAAAGAGAAAAGCGCGCCTGACCGTCTCTGCCTCGGCCTGTCTGCCTACGCACTGCGCACATGCCGATTATAAAAGTATAAAATAAACTTTTTTTCAACGCGTTAGTACACGCGCAGGTGGTGCGTATACACATGCCACACGTCGACGTGCGTGTCGTCGTCGTCGTCGTCGTTGTCGTCAAAGCTCGCCGCGCGTGTATACATGAGAGAGCTTGATTAAGATCGCATAGCCACTAGACAGCGCAGCGCCAAAGCTTATGCATATATTATACCTGTCGATTATGATTGCATCAAACTCACCCTTCACCTGCTAGATATTATTAGTGTTTATGAAAAGTATATACGGGTTGTTTTAACGTATTTTTTTTTATTTATTTATTTATGCTACGCTCATCTAATGCTTACGAAATTTTTAGAAACAATACTCGTAAACTAATTTGAAAAAATAAACAGATAACAACTTGTCATGGAAGAGTTCCAGTGGGTTCAAAATGATATTGATTGAGTTTTTAAACATTTCTACGTGCGGTGATCCGATACCGAAGGCACTAAAAAAATGTTTTCTTTTTTACTTGTCATGAAAATATTAACGCTGTATTATACCGAATTATTTAGACAATCCTTGCATGGATTTGGTTACGACGGTACTCGAAAAGGTCGGCTTTGTAAAGCAGTCTCGAAATTAAAGATTTTAGTGTAAATGCAGAGAATGCGTATGGCAGCGACCATTCATACAAAAGCAAAAGACATGGCGCATACAAAAAATTTCCATTCATCTTTACCGTAGATGCGGATTTCTGTCCGTAATTTTTTTTGGTTTTAATAAAATACAATACCACTCAGACAGCTACCCATCCATCCCTTCGGGTGTGAAACCCGAAGGTGAACGATCATCGTCGGCAGGCCGAGTCTCCGCAATGGGAGACTCGAGGCCGCCAGCCTCACGCTCAGAATGGGCAGCCACGTCTCATCCTCGTGGCTGCATCGACTCCTACTTTGGGTAGAGAGTCTGTGAAGATACACTACAGAAATGATCCTGTGAAGTATGATCTTGTCTAGACGCTCGAACGCCTCCGCTACTTGTACTCTTTTTTTGATTACTCGCTTGTGGGCTCGTAAAAAATTGATCGAAGTCATCTAGCGTTGAGATCGTGAACTATCGAGCACACGGGAGTCGCGTAGATTTTTGACACTAATGCGCAAGTCGATCAATGTCTTTTAATGGATGTGCTGTATCACTGAATATATACATCGCGCATAGTGGCGGGCTTAGTTCGCTCATCAATTCTAATATAAGTAAATCGTTTGCACATACATTTACTCAAGAACATTCAATTTAAACAATTATTGGCGGAATAGTTGATAAAAGAAAAATAAACAATTCCAATTCACTGACAAAAAGCTTCCTCCTAATCATAAGATATATATTCATACAAATAGAAAATCACTAATTTCTTACAAAAAGAAAATTTTAAATCTGACCTTCAGAAGAGAAAATCAAATGTTTAATCGAAATGAAAACATATTTCGGAATGAATATAACAATTTTGTATTATAATATATAATTCATATTGTATAGGAATAAATTGATTCAATATAGCAAGGAATTTTTTTTGAAGTACTCAATTTTGTAAGGCGAAAAAATCTCCGAATAAATCGTTGACAAGTTGGTATTTCAAACTGATTCAAATATAGTATTGACAATGTACATAAACAGATAAATTGATAATTCAATTGTAATCAATATTATTATGAACGATTTTGATATAATACCTCGACACACTAATTATGTTTATAGCAAGAATAAATTAGTTTGAATGTTGTCTTTCCCAATTGAATAAGTCATAGAAGTAAAAGATCAATTTCACTTATTTAGTTTTCCTGGAATAAATGAAAGGATCCATCGTTTAATTTGGGCACCAAAATGAATAAAAGTGAGGAGAAATCCGAGGAAGTTGTATCCAAACATAAATTGAGTAAACACGACATTGTTATTCCAGACGAAAAAAGACACGTTCACAATGCTCAGAAAAATTATGCTTGCGACAAGTGCGAAAAGAAATTCGAGTTCCGAAGTCATTTGAGTAGGCACCAAATATCAGTACACAAACGCCGCGAAGATTTAAAATGTGACAAGTGCAAAAAAAAATTTGTGAAAAAATCTAGTTTATTTACGCACCAAAAATTGGTACACAAAGATCGCAAAGATTACTCATGCAATAAGTGCGAGAGGAAATTTGAAAACAAATCTACTTTACTTAAGCATAAAAAAATATTCCATGAAGTTTTCAAAGATTACTTATGCGAAAGGTGCGCCAAGAGATTTGGAAATAAACAGAGTTTACTCCTGCACATAAAAGCAGTTCACGATAGTCACAAAGATTTTGCAGTCAGAGTCCTGAAAGATTACTTATGTGACGAGTGTGGAAAGAAATTTGTACAAAAATCGCATTTACTTTTCCACCAAAAGACAGTTCATGAAGGTCGAAAAGACTACAAATGCGACAAATGCGAGAAGAAATTCGGACAAAAACAGCATTTGTACAAACACCAAAGAGCTGTCCACGAAGGTCGCAAAGACTACACATGCGACAAATGCGATAAGAAATTTGGGGATCAAAGTGCTTTGAACAGACACATAACAACAGTTCATGAAGGTCGCAAAGATTATGCATGCGACAAGTGCGAGAAGAAATTTTCACAAAAATCAAATTTGGTCACCCACCAAAAGATGGTGCACGAAAGTCGTAAAGATTACGCATGCGACTATTGCGAGTACAATTGCGTAAGTAAATCAGAGTTGTTAAGGCATCAAAAGATAATTCACGAAGGACGGAAAGATTTTGCATGCAATAATTGCGAAAAGAAGTTTGGACTAAAAGGAGATTTGGTCCGACACCAAAAAACCGTCCATGAAGGTCGGAAAGAGTTCGCATGCGACAAATGCGAAAATCAGTTTGGGCTTAAACAGCATCTGCTCACCCACCAAAAGACGATACACGAAGGACGCCAAGATTACACATGCGATATTTGCGAGAAGAAATTTAAACAAAAAGGAAGTTTGCTCACCCACCGAAAGACGGTACATGAAGGTCGGAAAGATTATGCATGCGACAAGTGCGAGAAGAAATTTGGAATAAAATCAAATTTGATTCAACACCAAAAGAAAATGCACAAAGGACGTTAAGATTACCCATGCCACAAGTGCGAGAGGAAATAGTTGTTGAGGAGTGTTGAGGAAGCAGATTTGTTAAGGCACCAAAGGATAATTCACGAAATTCTGAAAGATTTTGCATGAAATAATTGCGAAAAGAAGTTTGGTCAGACACCAAAACTTAGTCCATGAATGTCGCAAAGATTATGCACGTGACCAGTGTGAGAAGAAATGTGGTCATCGATCCAATTTAATCAAACACCAAAAAATAGTACATGAACTTGGTAAAGATAACGAACGTAACAAGTGTGAAAATGAATATGACATTCCATCGAATTTGAATCGATACAGAAAAAAGTTCTTAAAATTCGCCGGACTACCTTTTGTACAATTCTGAAAGTTAATAAAGATTACGTAAATGATAAAAGTGATAAAATTTTTACATAAAAACGTAATTTTATTTACCACATTTGCTTGCTCACAAGGAAAAATTTTGTGCGTGTTCTTTTATTTATTCAATTTTTACAATGCCTCATATTCCCGACTTTTTTTTTTAAACTGTTTGCATGTTGCTTGTATTTATTTTTCGTTTATATTTTTTTGTGTATTTCTTTTATAACTATTTTTATAAATTTTTATTTATTATTGCTTGATTTTATTGATACCGAGATGCAAAAGTGCCTAATCTTTACATAAAACAACTATAAAAAAAATTTTTTTTGTAAAAATAATCTTTTGAACCGATTTTTTGCTCCTACCTTGCTGGTAACCTGGTACTCGACGTGCTTCAGAAATATTCCCTTCTTCTCGGGCACGAGATTGATCTCGAGCGTGTCCAAGTCACAGATCTCCGAGTAGGACAGGTTGAGATTCGTCGGGTCGGAGCTCCTCTGCAGTCGTTGCGCCAGCGCCACGACGTCCTGAAGATCGCCCAGCGTCGGCACCGGCAATTCTGCAATAACGACAAAAATAATTCAAATACGTCGTGTGCGAACACGATCTCGCATTTGGATATATTACGATCGATTTTACGCGATGGAAAAAAAATTCACCTTGAGATTCCGTGTTCTCCAGCAGCTTGTCGCTGGGCTGCTTGCCCTGCTGGGCCATGGCCACCAGCGCCAGCGCCTTGTACAGGACGCTCCTCGTCACGCAGCCCGTCTTGTTGTCCACCAAGTTCCATATCTGTGTCGTGCACGAAAAGTAATCGTTCGATTAAAATCTCCATGCGATTATTATATTATAAATGTTGTACCGATCGATCTTAAATTCGAATTGTTTTGCTCGCACGCAGCGCGAGATGTGAATCGGTATGAAGTATTACATATGCAAGACGTCGGAGCCTCGGTCGGAGATATGATAAAATTCACACGTATAACAATAAATATATAATATTGACGCTCGATTCTCTCTCTCTCTCTCTTTCTCGCCGCCGCTGCCTCGCGAGTGTAAGCGAAAATCGTATCAGTCGCAGATAAGTAGCGGTGTCAAGAGGTTGTGTGCCAATGTGGCAACCGATTTTGCTTACAAATATTTGCAGTGTTTTCGTGTGCTGTTCACCCGCGCGCGCGTGTGTGTGTGCGTGCGCGCCTGTATAGTCGAGAATCATCGTAATCGTACAAAATGTGGGAATTTTTGGAGAGTAAAACCTTCTGGCTGATCCTGACGATCGTCGGCCTGACCTACATCTATCTGCGCCACTTCGTGTTCAATTATTGGACCCTGCACGGAGTGCCGCACGAGCAGCCCTCGCTGCTGCTCGGCAACCTGACGTGGGACTTTATCACGGCCAAGATCTCTCTGGGTAAACATTTTTTTTTTTTTCAATGTATGTAAAAGTACATTTTTTTTAATCGTCGTCGAATCACAAATGAAGGAAACTGGCTGAAGCAGAGCTACGACAAATTTCGCAACTATCCGTTCCACGGCCTGTACGTGTTCGGCCGGCCCGTGCTGATGATCAACGATCCGGCCCTCATACGCACCGTCCTCGTCCAGGAGTTCTCGCGCTTCTGCGATCGGGGCTGGCTCAGCAACATGGAGAAGATCGACCCGATGACGGCCAATCTGTTTCTTCAGCCGGAGCACAAGTGGCGCCGATTGAGGCAGAAGTTCTCGCCGACCTTCACGCCCAACAAGATGCGCCAGTTCCATCCGCTGATGGCGGAGATCGGCCAGCAGATGGTCGAGGCCTGCGACGAGGAGCTGCTCAGATCCGGCCGATCGGTGCTCGAGGTGAAGGACATCGTGGGCCGCTACACGACCGACATCATATCCTCGGTCGTCTACGGCTTCAACTGCAACAGCCTCAAGGACCCGGATCACGCGTTTCGCCGGTTAGGCGAGCGAGCCTTCGAGTTCGGCCGCTTCAATCAGCTGCTGGGCATATTCCTGCCGGAGCTGCCGGGCCTCGTGGCGCTGCCGTTCTATCACAGGGAGGTGCGTGACTTCTTCGCCAAGCTCTTCAAGGACATGGTCGAGCGTCGTCGCGAGGCCCCGGTCGACAGGAAGGACTTCATGAATCTGCTGATCGAGCTGATGGATCGCGGCTCGGTGAAGGCCGACGACGCAGCGGCGGAGGAGGAGAGCGAGGAGCAGAGCGCCAAGAGGACGACGGGTAATGATATATATGGATTTGATTCAATTTGAACGAGTATTTTATACGTTATGTAATCTGGTAGAAATTTTTATGTTTAATATTAGGGCATACCCATGGAGATTGTTGAACGTTAAAAAAGCACTCGACTTATACAATTATTTTAACTTTGCCACTTGCAGATTTTTTAATAAAGGTACACTCGCCATCTATCGGTAGAGGCTCAAAGTGGTTTTGATCGTATTTAAAACCGATTGAAAACTGATCTAAATTTTATGAAGTAATAGTCCAGTCAAATTAGTTTTGAACGTGAAAAAATTCGCGACCGGCGTTTCTCACTGGGATTCGTTAGGGTTCGATAGTAGGAATGAAGTAATAACAAATGCCACAGTTGAGTCGATTGGAAGTTCTACAATTGGGCCCTTTGAAATTAGGAAAATCGGATTTTCGGCTACAGATTGAAAACCCTACGTTTTATGAAAAAAAGTTTCAAACAAAAGTTGTAGGTCCTTGCAAGACCTTCAATTTGACATATATAACATTGGAAATCGGTTCATTTGTTTATTAAAAACGCATCAATTGTCAATAACAATAAAAGGGACTTACAGACATCGCAAGAATACCTAGGTGGGCTCAAATCAAAGATAATTACTTCTAATTTTGTAAAATAACATATTTTTATCATAGATTACAAAATTAGAAGTAATTATCTTTGATTTGAGTTCATCTAGGTATTCTTGCGATGTCTGTAAGTCCCTTTTATTGTTATTGACAATTGAGGCGTTTTTAATAAACAAATGAACCGATTTTCAATGTTATATATGTCAAATTGAAGGTCTTGCAAGGACCTACAACTTTTGTTTGAAACTTTTTTTCATAAAACGTAGGGTTTTCAATCTGTAGCCGAAAAACCGATTTTCCTAATCTCAAAGGGCTCAATTGTTGAAATTCCAATCGACTCAACTGTGGCATTTGTTATTACTTCATTCCTACCATCGAACCCTAACGAATCCCGGTGAGAAACGCCAGTTGCAATTTTTTTTACTTTTAACATAGAGTCAGATCTAATTGGACTGGACTATAAAGAAATTACCAAAAATAAACCAGTCAATGCTTAAAATTTACACTATACGATCATTAAGTCCTTATCAATATTGAACATTTCTCATCTGGGATTGTATCTAAAAAAATAAATCGACTTCGTAGACGATCAAGATCTGCTGAGTATGAGCGAGGCGGCCGCGCAAGCCTTCGTCTTCTTCCTGGCCGGCTTCGAGACGTCCGCGTCCACGGCCACCTGGGCTCTGCTGGAGCTCGCCATGAATCAGGACATTCAGCACAGGCTTCAGCGGGAGATCGACCAGGTCGCCGACGGTCCGGAAGGCTTCACCTTCGAGAAGATCGAGTCGATGGAGTATCTGGACATGGTGTTGTCGGGTAAGCGATCCGTACGCGCGCGCAAAAAGAAAATTGATATATTTATACATATCCGTTGAAATGCATTGTGCAGAAACGTTCAGAAAATATTCGGCGGTGGCCTTTCTCAACCGGCTCTGCGTCGAGGAGTACCGGATACCGGGCACGAGCTACACCGTGCCCAGGGGCATGCGCCTGGTGATATCGAGCCACGGCGTGCACCACGACCCGGACATCTATCCGCGACCCCACGAGTTCGATCCCGAGCGCTGGAGGCGCGAGAACGTCGCGGCCTGGTGCAGCACGGCGCAGCTGCAGTTCGGCGCGGGCCCGCGTAACTGCATCGGCAAGCGCTTCGGCCTGCTGCAGGCCAAGCAGGCGCTCGTCAGTCTGCTGGGCCACTTCGAGTTTCGCGTGAGCGACGAGACGAGGCTGCCCTGCGCGATGGAGACCGAGACCATGGTGCAGACACCCAAGCACGGCGTGCTGCTGCGCGCGGAAAGACGAAGAAAGCGAACCGACGATGATTAAAGACTCTTGGCCTTTGTGCGGGGGCGAGTCATTCTGCCGAGAGATTATAAATTTGTACAGTTTTATAACCGAGTCGTATCGCACTCCTGTCTACAGGATGAAACAAAGAATAAAAAAGTTTTTCACCCCGTAACACCGCCTGAGAGATTGATTTATCTTTTTAAGACGAAAAATAAGTAAGCGAAAAAATCAAGGATATTTAGAGTTTCACTCGACTCGAGTCGAGAAAAATTCGACTACCCAACAACATTCTTGTGTTTGCGCTTTTTTAACGTATTCAAGTTTTCGATTGCACTGTAGTATAATTTTTATCTCATGATTATATTTTTGATGTATGTTTTGATCTCCACTTGGTAGACGTCGTTTCAGAGTGTGCCCTCGGGTTTTGTTTTTTCGTATAAGGCATTCTACTTCGAAATTAAAAATTGAATTGATTGCAAAGGTTATAATAAAAATGGGGAGAAAAAACATTTTCCCACGAAATTTAATTGAAAGAAAAACAATTTTTTATTTATTTGACCGTAAATAACACTAAACCCCAAAAAATAAGGCAGACGTGTTTATCGTCGCTAATTCACAGATTGGCAGTCAATCTTTCATTTTTATTCAAGCTCGGCGCCTAGTGCCTCCAAATATCGCGACGCTTCCTGGTAGTTGGTGCGATTCATTAACAAGTTCAATGGTGTTCTACCATCGATGGTCTTGGCATTGATCTCCACTGGTTGCTGTCTTTCCGCGTTGATTCTAAAGAACGTTTCCAAAAACCAAGTGCATTTAACGCAAATGACGTGCAGAGGAGTCCATCCCTTGTTATCGGCCGAATTCGGATCAGCGTCTGCCCACAAAAGATCTTCGGCAATCTTCGTGTTTGCGTTGAACAAAGCCAAAGACAGCGGAGTCTGTCCATACTGATTGGTGACATTTGGATCAGCGCCCCTGCTCAGCAGCAATTGAAACTTACTTCTGGGGCCCGAATGCACAGCCATGTGCAATGGTGTCCAGCCTTTGTTGTCCTGAGCATCGATCTGCACCGTCTGTTGCATTTTGTCAACGATCTCAAAGAATTGCTTCATCGCTTCGTAGTTTCTGGTCTTGGTAATGAGGTGCAGAGCAGTATATCCATCCTTATCGGCCAAATTCGGATTGGCGCCGTTTACCATTAGTATTTCAGACATCCTCTTGCTTTTTTGACTTATAGCCAAGTGCAGGGGTGTGTTACCCTCCTCATCTTGGATATTGACCCACACTGGCTTCCCGAAGTCGTTTGCGATCTTGAATAATATCTTAATTAAATTGTAGCCATCGACTCTCCGGCAAATTAAGTGCAGAGGTGTCGATCCTTCTTGGTTGGCTGAGTTCGGATCGGCGCCTCTTGTTAGCAGTATTTCAGACGTCTTCAAGTAGCCGTTCTTCAGAGCCAAGTGCAGCGGTGTGTCTCCATCCTCGTCCTGAGCATCGATCAGCACCGTCTGCTGCATGTCGTCGATTATCTTGAAGAATAACGTCAGCAAGTCAATGCGACTCTTCCGGCACATAATGTGCAGAGGTGTCGATCCTTCTTGGTTGGCTGAGTTCGGATCGGCGCCTCTTGTCAGCAGTATTTCAGACGTCTTCAAGGAGCCGTTCTTCAGAGCCAAGTGCAGCGGTGTGTTACCCAAGCTGTCACGGACATTGATCTGCACTGCCTTTTTGTGCTTATCGACGATCTTGAAGAATAACGTCAGCAAGTCAATGCGACTCTTCCGGCACATAATGTGCAGTGGTGTCGATCCTTCTTCGTTGACCGAATTCACATCGGCGCCTCTTGTCAGCAGTAATTTAAACGTCGTCACCTTGCCGCTCTCCACAGCCAAGTGCAGCGGTGTGTTACCTAGGCTGTCACGAACATTGATCTGCACTGCCTTTCTGTGCTTATCGACGATCTCGAAGAATAACCTCAGCAAGTCCAAGCGATTATCCCGGCAAATAAAGTGCAGAGCAGTGGATCCATCGGCATCGACCCAAGTAGGATCGGCGCCTCTTATCAGCAGCTCCATGGCCCACTTCGCAGTTCGCAGAGCTGATCGTAGCAGCGAATGAGGATTCTGCCCTCGATGGATCATTTTCCAGACGAGTTGGTGTCCATCAGGGATAGAGCAAGCCGCCTGAAAATGGGTGAATCCTCCTTCGTCGGTGTAGTTCAAATCAAATCTGTCGTAGATTTCAAATAGCAACTGGACCATGTTGGTCGCAGTTGCATCCCAGTTGTCGATTTTGGCGCGTAAAACAAGATGTATCGGTGTGGTGCGACGCAACACGTACCGGCCGTCTGTGCCAATTTTGTGCTGGTCTCTGTAGCCGGAGTCAACCACGAACTTGATGAATCGTATTCTTGCCTTCTCGTCGCCCTCTTGGTCCGTTACGGCGTACGAGAGAAGACACTCGATTTTTTCGGGTCGAAAGATCTCTAAAAGATCTGGTAATGGGCCCTGCCAATTCTCGACAACACGATATATACCATCAAGGAGCAATCGGCGTTTTTCCTCTTCGCTCGCTCGACTGGCAATGCTTATCAAGCTCCTCCAATCTAGAGCTTTCATTTCTATTATTTTTCCTATTCGAGCACAACTTGCACAGTCACTAATAATTTGAGTTTGTTTTTTCTATAACGAAAACCACACTTGCTGCGGTCGATGCGACTATTCACTTACTCTATATACGATAGATACATAGAGATTATTAAAAAAAATATAGAAGAGTGAACCCGAGATTTATAGGAAATACGAGTAGGCCCGAGCTTAGAACGAGAATAAGTCGTTGACTTTGGTATCTAATTAAAATCGTCGATCCAAAGTAGCAGAAGCAGCTCGTTTGAATAACATAATATACGTATAGGTAATAACAACAATAACACACGGCTGAGCCGATGCTCTTTTCTGACCGAATTTAACGACTTTGATTATAAACACATATGAAATATGAAAAAAATGTTTTATCATTTAACATTTAAACTGTTTGAAACAGTTTGTGAAATTGCAAAAAAGTTTGTTTCTAAAACTTGAACCAGAAAAGTACTCATCTTTTGCTGCAATTTTAAGTTTGAATGATTAAATCGCTATAACTCAGAAACCATCGAAATATTCTGTGGAGAGACAAAAATATGTACAGATTTAACGCGACTCTCTGTTATGACCAATTTTCCGTAGAAAAATCTAAGATACCAGGAGATTATAAGTGCGTGAGCTTTTCTAGATGCTCTCTTTTCTATAAGTCTCTGTTACTTCGTATTTTTTCTCGTGCAAGAATCGTTCCTTTTCGAGATAGAAAGTGGTAAGCAAAGTAAGTAAAGGTTACAGCCGTATTGATAAAATTCGGGATGCGAAGAAATCAAAAAAAGTCATAGAATTAGTGAAATAACACTTCGAGGACAATTTCGTAAACCTTATTTCTTCCTTTTCAGACCACAAGAATCTGCAACGGCGTCCGAAGCGAAGGTGTATAGCCATTTATGAAAAGTCGAAACTCATTTTTACAATTCGTTTATTTGAACATTATATTATGTAAACTACGCAGCCTCGACTAATCGTCATTATATTTCACACGGTTATTACATCTCTCGTTGAAGTTTTTTCGCCTGCAGCCGTCGTCGGAAGAAGAAAAAAATCGTCGTTCGTTAAGTTCCTCCTCCGTGACTGCGTGAGTACACGCTCTCGACTCATAGTCGGCCATTCTCGTTGGCTTGCCGTTGCCGGGCTCTCTGCAACTCGAGCCGCAAGTACACACGCGCCTGCTCGTCGGTGAGCTCGGTGTCGATGATGCTGTCGAGGGTGCATCCGTTGTAATCGACCGCGTTCGTGTCGGCGCGGCTCTGCAGCAGGAACACGGCGGCGCCGCTGTTGCCCGCGCGCAGCGCCGTGTGCAGCGGCGTCCAGCCCCTCGAGTCCGCAAAGTCGACGTACACGGCCTTCCCGTAATGGTGCACCAGCTGGCAGAAATACACGAGAAAGCCGAAGTCGTACTGGCGCCTCTGGCAGATGTAGTGCAGGGGGCTCGCGCCCGAGTGATTGAGCGCGTTCGGATCGGCCCCGCGCTCCAGCAGCAGTCGCAGCAGCTCCTGGCTGCAGCCGTGGATCAGCGCCACGTGCAGCGCCGTGTCGCCCGCGAAATCCCGGGCGTTGACGTCCAGGGGCTTGCCCACCTCGGCGCAGACGCGGAACAACGTTCTCGCCATTTCGTGATCGTCGCCGCAGATCCAGCAGAGCAGGTGCAGTGCGGACAGCGACACGGCGCCGTCGATCTCGAGATGCGGCTTGGCGCCTCGTTTGAGCAGCAGCTCCACGAGGCCGCGGTCGCGCAGCGTCAGTGCCAGTTGCAGCGGCGTCACGCCGTTCCTCGTGTAGCAGTTCGGGTCCTGGCCGATCGCCAGGAATCTCTCCACGACGTCGTGGCGGCCGTCGCTGATGCAGCAGGCCACGTGCAGGTGCGACACGTTGATGGCCGGTGGGTCCGGGTAACCGGGGTCCACGCAGTTCACGCTGAAACGGTCGTAGATGCGAAAGAGGGCGCGCGCCATGCGGTTCCAGTCGGCGAAGGTATGGCTGTTGTAGAACAGACGATGCAGCGGCGTGAAGCGATACTTGGCCGGTGGGCCCGTCCCGGGAGGCGCGTCCCTGTAGCCGGTCTCGCCCACGTACTCGACGAATCCTATTCTGTCCACCTCCCGGCTGAAGGTGTCCTCCACGGCGCACATGAGATATCTATCCATCTCTTCGGCCGTGAAGGCGTCCAGAAGATTCGGCGGCGGTCCTTTCCACCATCGAATCATCATATTGATGATACCGAAAAACGCGTATCGCAAACCCGGTACGTCCAAATTCGTCTCGTCTTTCAATTCTCTGAAATGTTCTTCTAACGATCCATACCGATCCATAACGAACACCGTTTCGTTTTCCATACTCGGGCACAACTTGCACAGTCACTAATAATTTGAGTTTATTTTTTCTATAACGAAAACCACACTTGCTGCGGTCGATGCGACTATTCACTTACTCTATATACGATAGATACATAGAGATTATTAAAAAAATATATAGAAGAATGAACCCGAGGTTTATAGGAGATACGAGTAGGCTCGAGTTTAGAACGAGAATAAGTCGTTGATTTTGGTATCTAATTGAAAACGTCGATCCAAAGTAGCAGAAGCAGCTCGTTTTAATAACATAATATAGGTACAGGCAATAACAACAATGGCACACGGCTGAATTGGCGCTCCTTTCTAACCGAATTTTACGGCTTCGATTATAAACACGTGTATAAACGTTTCGCGTTCGACGAGAGAAATGTTAAGATCTTCTTGTATAAAGCGCCGAAAATTTCATTGACTTATAAGATAAATGTAGTAAAAAGTTTGCATTTAAAAGACGTTTTAAAATTGAGTAAATAAGTATCAATTTGGGTAATGACTATATTTCATTCACGAAGTCCTTACTCTGAAAAATTAATAATTTATCAAAGATTATAATAAATTTCCGTTTGTAACTATCGTGGACCATAAAAATATCGACCGAATCGACTATGTACCAGCACATAGAAGCATTGCATTATACGTCCTCGAGGGATCTTGAATTAGTTAAAATAATTGTTCAACAATAATCTAGAACTGGTACTTCATAGCCTTCCATTCTAAAAATCGCCGCTCGTCCACTATATTTTTGGACTCTTGTGCATACGAGTACGCGATGTAAGTCGCACTTTTTGGTATTAGCGTCGGATCGGCATGCCGCTCGCAATAAACGTAAACTCGAAAGACACGCAGTGACGGTAATAAGTTTGTATTGCGTCGATCTCCGGCCATTAAATCGGCCGCGCGCACGATTTCTCGTGCGTACGATCGCGCGCCGCGGCTCGCGACGTAAAAAACGAAAAGAAAAAGATTATACTTGTGCGTGGTATCACTCGGGCGCAAAATGCGAGCTCTCCCCTTCCTATTGCTTCTTTGTTTTCGAAAAATCGGTAAGTAATCTCTCTCGAGATAAAAATCACGAGATTCATCGATTTTGATAAACCATTCCTGTATACGCGCGCAGCCGTGGAGGCGATCATCTGCGCGCTGACCGCCGACAACCTGCAGTTCCCGTATACCTCGTGAGCTTTCACGACGAGCTGGGCCAGCGGAGCTTCTGCATGGGCGCCATCGTCGGCGCGCAGTTCGCCGTCTCGGCCGCGCACTGCTTCGTCGACTCGCGCACGGGCGAGCTGATCCGCGAGCGGACGATCAGGGCCCAGGTGGGCGCGCCCGACATCGGGACGTCGCGCATCGGCGTCGAGGTGCTGCGCGTCTACGTCCCGGCGGAGTACAAGAAATCGGACGGCGGCATGGCCGGCATCTACGACAGGGCGGACATCGCCGTGGTGAAGTTGGCGCGAAGCGTCGTGAAGCCGCCGGACTCGTGCGCCTTGAGGATATCACCGTTGCCGAGGAGTCACGTCTTGGGTGCAGGCGACACTTCGCTGGTGGCCGGTTACGGTTGCAGTCGCAACGAGGACCCGAGGAAGCTCAAGTACACGATGATGAAGCCGATCGATGACGAGACCTGCGGCGTCAAGTATCTGCTCGGCGAAGACGACAGCGTCTTTTGCGCAGCGGTGACGGATGCCAACGAGGGTTCCGCTGTTTGTCGGGTAATTGATGCTCGTCGATGATGTAGATGTGTTTCCTGTACATTTTTTTATAAATTATTATTCCAATACAGGGTGACGATGGCACACCCTACGTACACAAATCCGGCGTCGTTGGTATTCTATCGTACGTACCCTCGGATCGCTCGTCCGACGCGATTTTCACCAAAGTCGGAGCCTACGAGCAATTCATCAAGCGAGCTATGACTGAAAAGATAGACCTAACTATCAAAGTTGTGGATTATCGCTCGTAAGCGTGATTACATTAAAATTGAACTGTTATGTAGGTAAAAGTTTCAAATTTTCAGCTCCTTGCGACTTTTTTGTTTTTGTTTTTTTTTTTAATAAAATATTTATGAATAGATTTATTGAAACTCTTATTGCTTACAAATAAACATACAAATTACGTGTAATTTTACTTTTTAATTAGATTTTTCTTCTTATTCTTCTTCCCATTGCATCTTTTTAATCCATTCATTGCAGAACAGCTGTTTTTGTGAGCTGTATTAATGTAAAAATTCTTTTTCCCTTAAAACTGTATAATACTGAGCAAGAAATGGAATTGAAAAGACGTAGTAATTAAAAAAATCCGTAGGCAAATATTTTTGAAAGCATTGGGCAAAGAGCCTTCACCTCAAAAACTCATTAGTAATTTTGTTTATTTTACTTGTTTTTCGTATCAAGTCCATAAAATTATTGAAACTGAGACTTTCGAACATACAGTAAAGGACACTCTAGTTAGAACAACATCAAAACATACTCAATAACTTTTTACATTGTTGACATTTCTTCGGACGCATAAACCACAAAAACGTAATCCAAATTTTCATTAAATGCACCTCGTTCAAAAACTCATTACGAAGCTTCTATATAGCAAAGTTTATTATAAAGCCTCTATATAAGAGGAAGAAAAAATCGAATCGATACATTCTCTCGTGGCTCATACTTATAAGTTAACTCGGGTGTACCGGGCCGATTGATAATTTTCGAATCGCAATGCACGATGATAAAAATAAGTGGCTCGGAAAGAGAAAGAGATGTATTATCGTTTCATGTAAATACGAAGTAGAGAAATGGAAGTAAAAAAAAAAAAACAACTACCCGCAGTGTACGACACTTATTTCATCAAGCGCTCGTAACATCGGATTCAATCTTTTGCAATGCAACGAGATGTACGGCCGCACGACGACGCTGCGACACACGCGGAGACGCACTCGAGTGTGCAGTGCTACTAAGGCAGTACATACTACGTACACGTCGATTATATGAAGAAGTCAGCGTCGTCATCTCGTTTATATAAAATGTACGCACGACGTCGGTGCGGAGTGCGCGCGGCCGACCTTGCGCCAATCGTCGAATATACTATATATCTCGTATATGCCTATCTTCGTATATACTTGGGTGAGCGCAGCAGCAGCAGCAGCAGCTACTACTGTGCACACACTCGAGAAATCGTCGATATATGCATAAGTACACGTGCACCGGTGTGTATATAATGTTTAAATATGCTGCCGCGCGTGTATAAACCGAGAGCGAAAGGAAGCGAAAAAAGATAAACAAATAAATAAGACGCGTCCTTGCGCGCGCCAGTCGTCAAGATTCGAGTGTGGTTTTTCCGCAACGATGATCGTTCGAGTTTATACGCAAATTTTTACTTTCTCGATTTTTTTTTTCTACTTCCTTTATACCTGCACTTTTCATAAGTTAATCGCTCGTGATTTTTGCTCCAGTAACCGCGGCTGCGCGCGATATTACATTATCGTGATGTAACTTTTTTCGTTTGTTTTCATTTTTCGAGAGGTAGATAACGCGATTGCATTATCGGATCGCACGCGTACATCGTGCTTTACATCGTGCGATGAAAAATAAAGAAAAAAAAGTGTAAAAAGAATGCATCTCTTACCTGGCTGAGGACGGGACTGGCTAGCTGAGACTTGACGAGCAGCGACTTGAAGACCTCGCGCTCGACGTTGCCGCTGCTCGGCGAGCAGATCTTCTCGTAGACGTCGCGATAGTAAGCCGGTATCGATCCTGTCGACGAAGAGAAAAAAAAAAACAATGATAAAAACGTCGCTTCAAGTCGGACGAGACAATAGCGAGAGTCTCGTGCGGTCACGAGATCGAGAATATATAATGCCTGTAATGCGGTTGTTAGCGATTAGAAACTCGATGCAGCATGCAGAGATGCTGCGCTCGATTATTTCACTCGGTGTAACGGTACGTATGCGAGTAACGATACCCTGTGTGTCGTGTATTTTGGCCAATGAAAAAGAAAAATGAAAATGCTAAGAAAAGATGCGTCGTGCTTCCGACGAATTCGGTGTGTGTGTGTGTGTTATTTTTCTGCAATTTTTCGATCGAACTCGCAACACGAATCGAAATCCGCAAGCTCATGATTATAAAAGCAGCGCTCATAATAATATAATGACTATACTGCGATGCGATATCACCACACAAGCGCAGAGCGGCGGAACATTTGTCGCGCGTGTGAAATAAAAAAAGAAGTATATGTACGTATCGCAGTTGTAGCGTATACACATGTGTAACTCGCTGCACATATTCATATGTACACATACGACTGGAGGATGGGCGACATCCGCTTTTGTCGCAATCTAAAAACAAGTCATCTCTCTCTTAATAAAGAAGAACATAGTGTATATGTAAAAAAAAGGGAGGGAAGAGCTGAGCTCGGAGGAGAAGCACATCTTTCGCACATTAATACATCACACTCACACACACGTGTGCAAGTATACGTGTGTATATCAAATACATAATAACGTCACGTTCGAAGCGGGCGCGCGCATACACCAAGAGAGAGAGGCTAACATCATAATAATGTTATAAATCGCGTATGTATTTTATGTACTCGCGCTTCTGCACGGTGCACGATCGTCACGAGTGTGTGAGAGAGAGAGAGAGAGAGATTTTTTTATCCGACCCCGCGCGCCGACTGGAAGGAAATACCGATATAAAAAATCCGTCTGTGTGCTTGCGCTGTATTATATATATTGTAAATGTAAGATAATATATTTGCGTAAATGCGCCGCGATGAAGTAATCGCGACTCTACTGTGTATACACGTTGTTGCGAGCTTATTTCATTTTTTTTGCTTCTTTTGGCGCACATGTGCGCAAACAGCCGGAGAAAGGGAAAGAGAGAGAGATTAATTGCTGCACCGCGCGTGCTATGCCGCGCATTCGACACGTTTTTATTCGATACAACAAAAAAAAACAAATAAATAAAAAACATTAATACGCGTATGGCCTGTGTTGTATTACTGGAAATTTTTTCGTCCTGCTTGTATCGCACGTATTATTATCTTCCGATGTATAGAAAAGCTTAATTCAAAGCATACGCGTTATTATTATTATTGCGAATATACAGGCGCATTTTTTTCTCACGAGCTCGATTATTTTATCGTCGCATTATAGTATCGTAAATTATAGCCCGCCGTTTATGCAGTCGCGTTAAGCTCGCGCGCAGATTTCGTTATCGCAGCCGAGCATCATGTTATGTTATGATACGCGCGTTTACACAGAAAAATGATTATTTATGCACGAGTTTGTGTACATATATCTTTGTGGAAAAAACTTTATATAATTGTGTGTGAAGCGAGCGTCTCTTCGTCGCGATTAGTTCAAGGCGATTTCAAGGAATTCACGAAAAACAACAACAGAAACTTGACGGATAAAAAAAAAAATAAAATAATATACCAATAACCGATCGATCGGGCGAAAGTCATCAACGCGGTATCCCAGGCGCGGAGTAAACCGGTTGTCCTCGACTCTCGGCGCTATCTTTCTCGTTCTCTCGGCGTTTCCCAAAGCTCGTGAATTTATACGAAAAAAAAGTACAACGAAAAGGAATATCAAGCGAGCGAAAAGCCTCTCGCGCTCTGCTACGCAGCTGATACTCGACGATGATCTCGCGAGCGCGCCGACAGGTGTCAACGATCTCGCACGCGCAAGTACATTCGTAGACACACGTGGATAAATCGTAAACTTGACATTCGATCTATGGTCTACGTCTAATTTTAATTTTTCTAAGTCTATATGCGATCGAGGATATTGAAAATTCGCCTTGCAGCGCACAGCTGATTGAATTTTTTGCGCGCACACACACACAAACACGTACGTACGTACCGGACGACAGGTCGGTCGCCGCCATGTTGCGCGCGCCGTGACGACGACTACGACGACGATGCTTGGCTCCTCTTCCTCTCTATCTCACTCTTTCTCTATCCTCTGCTGCCTGTAATATAAACTCCGAACTCTTGCTGCTAGACGCTTGGATCACTCGTGCACAGGACTGACTGGTGTAAGTCTGACACATGTACACAAACGCACACATATACACGCGTAAACACTTGTCGCACTCAAGCCTCGTCGTTGCTGTTGTTGTTGTTGTTGACGTCGTGCACGCACATCACACAGGCCACTCCACTTTCATCATCATTATTACTATTAAATTAACGGGGCACTTTATTCGCGGCACCTATATTCTTTTTCTTGGGCAATTTGCCAAATGCAGCACGCATCTGTGCGATATTACACTCGTATCGTACACGATGTCGCTCGGTCTATCGCTGTACATACAACGAGACAGACAGAGAGCACGTGTATATGAGACTGCGCTGCTTTACTCTATATTGTGTACACATACATGCGGAGTAATATACGCGCGGGCGCGTTACATTACACACATATGTGTATACACACATACACAATGTGTACCAAGCGAAAAGACGCTCCGCGGGCCACTGACTGCGCGCCGCCGCCGAGGATATATAGGCCTCCTCCACTGCGCTCCGTGGCCCCAGTCTATACTCCGTGCACACACAGCACACACACACTGACATTAGCGGGACTCTCTCTCTCTCTCTCTTTTACTCGTATATATATATTCGCCCACTCTCTTGTACAGCGAATATACATATAACAGGTTCCCTCTCTCTGTCTTTCGCTCTCTTACGAGGCTGAGTACATTTTTTTTTCTTTTCATCAGCGCGTATACGTATCGTATATGTAGTGGTGCTGTAGCGTTAGATAGCATACTCTACATGCAGTGGATCGAGCGCAGTTTGCCTCTCACTCGCGCGGAGGAGAACAGAGAGCGGATCGCACCGATCGTATTATAGGAAATCGTCTCGCGCGGAAAGTCGGGCAGAGATTTTGGACGACTTTTCACGTTACTTTCGTTCGTCCGTAAAAATTTTCATCAAAGAAAATCGTCCGATATCGTTAAGCTTATTTTTTTCGTCGTTTTATTATACCTGATGAGAATGAACGAGCCACGAGGTGATAACGAGCGTGACGAAATGCGGCTGAACGAAAAAAAAAACTCGTTTTTGAACGATTACCTTTTTAGCGCGGAATAGGAGAGATGTCAACCTGAAAAAAAATTCTCCGCTGTTGCGATAATCACGCTCTCCGAGTAGTATAGTGGTTTTTATTATGTGTCGAGGCTAGGTGTATAATAAAGAGACGCAGGAGAAAGCGGGCTTTCTCTCCGAGAGGTAGTTTGTCTACGTATGAAATAGAAGAGTATGTACCAAGTTCGCCGTCGTACGGAGCGGATTTACGAACTCTTTGACGCATTGTCGATTGCAATTTTTCAGCGACTCTTTATAAACGAACCGTGTACTCAAGGAATTTCACACTCGTTACACAAAATGACAGTTGATATACACGCGCTTTATTATTCTTTGTACTTTTGGCATATAAATTGAAAAAAAAAAGATTACAAAAGCTCTCGTGAAAGCACAAAAAAATTCATTCGTCCAGATCGCCGAGGGGAAACGGTTTCGGCGGCGGCCGCTCGATCTTGAACTGCTCGAGCTCCTGGCTGACCTGACGCGATCGGTCCTTGTCCATCGACTCGATCAGACGGATCTTCTGGGCGATCTCCTGGTGCATGATCGGCCGGTACTTCTTGCCGAGGCCCAGACACTCCATGTCGTGGAGAAACTCGATCCTCTCTTGAATGCCTCGCACGACTGTATTCATATTGGAAGAACGAAGAAAATGAGAGCTCAACGTGCGCTATTAATTTTTTTCTACGTACCGTCTTTGAAAGGATCTTCGTTGGGCTCGAGCTGCAGCGGTTTTCTGGGCTTCGGCATGTATCCCTGCTGCCTTGGCGTCGGTGGCATGTCTTTGCCGTAAGCCATCATGCAGGCCAAGTGTCTTTTCTGCCTGTCTTTGTTGGCTGCAATCAATTATTTTCCTCATTATCGAACATCATCGAAATCCTCATCGACTCTTTCTTTTGTTCTCTATATTAAACTCACGAAGCGGTGACGTGCGCCTGTACTGCTCCCTCTCGTAAGCTCCGCTGCTGGCTATGATCTCCCTCGATCTTCGCTTCCAGACCGACGGATACTCCACCTTGAAAACGACGAGCGATTGCGTTGTTCAAAGCACGTATCGGTATAAAGGAAACGGATCGCGTCTTTCGTAAATCGAGCCACGTCGAATAATAAACGAGATCGGAAGCTAAAATACGTATAATATATACGCGCTCGGACGTACTTGCACTTGAGCTTGATTGGCATAGTTATTTGGCTTCGTTGTCTTGGGCTGCGGCGGTGGCAGAGGCGCTCCTTTATTGAGCACGTCCTGAATCGATTTTCTCTGCATCATCGAGAGCTTCGATTCTTCCATCAACACTGGAACGCACGCACGTTCGCACCAACAACGGGATTATTAGCGCGAGAGGTATATTAATTATAGGTTATCGATATCTTAGAAAATACAGTCAATTAGTTATGTACCTTTGATAAGGTTCTGGGTCTCGTCGCTGTAGCTCGCTCTGGGTGGATTGTGAAAAGCTCCCACGCCGATACCGACTCTCTGCTCCGGCCTCTCCATGCTGACACGATGATCTCTCTCTCGTTCGCGTCCTTCGGTTTTATGTCTATTAAATGTCGGTCCGGCTATTGTTTATTCACCCGTCGACGTTGCACACAGCAATTACAGCAAATACTCCGCGGCAGAGCTTGCGAAGCCGATTGTTAAGCATCTGCGCGCGCGAGGCAAGGAAAGCCAAATCCTTTCCTCGAGCTGTAAATGCATACATAAGCGGCATAAAAGCGTGTGCGCTTGACGCGATACACCGGCGACACGATATACAAGCGTTTCTATGACTACATTAACGTCGTGTGCAACGTCGTGCGTGCACGTGCCAGGCAGTGGCCAAAAGTTTACGAGCGAGGAGAGCTTTCGACATCGACATTGCGCGAGGCCCGTGTGATTGATCCAACTTTCGTCCTGGCCCTCCGCGTTTATCTTTCGCTCTCATCGCCGTATATAATAATAACGTTCCGGTCGCCAGCGCGGCGATAAGCGACATAAATGAGCATTCGGTGTGCACTTGCAGCAGAGGAAGCGACGATTTTGACTGCGGCGCTGCTGATGAGGGAGTGAACGGGGGAGAGGGAGGCATGGCGGCGTCCGGCAAAATTGCCGATAATCGCGCACGGTACATGTGGCATAGTTGTCCACTATAACGCGAGCTTTTGTCTCGTGTATCGCGTTCAAGCTCGTTACTCATACATAAGCGCCCACGCAGTATTTATTCGACGACGATGCGATTTTCGTCGGGCCGCAACACAACCCCCGCGAGGTGCGTGCGTGCACAATGGGCGGGTGAAATTAAGGCAAAAGGTATACGAAACGAATTACGCGCGGTGCTCGTTGATTATTCATCGCGTGTGTCTGATAGTGCGATTCGCGTTAGTTACTGCGCCCAGAGAGAGAATCGCTCGGAATATATTACAGCGCGTAAAATGCCTCTCGATGTATACGCGCGTCAGCTCGAAATCGGCACACGTACATCCACGCGATTCAATCGCATTCGTGAAATTGGTATTGGTAATCGATGCTGAGTTTTAACGAGGCGAAGAGAAAGAGGAAAAAAAAAGAAAAGCCGATCCGAGTCTCGCGCGAGCGTTAACAGAGTCCTCGAATCCGGAGAGTGAGAGAAAAGAGATTTAGAGCGCAGAGAGACACACGTTCGGTCGTATATATACGGTATTTTGAATTATCCATGTGTGTGCGCGTGTGAGTGAATACATACACACTTTAGACAATAGGCCACAACGACGAAAGGGAGAGAAAATTGTGTATATGGGCAGAGGGTTGACTGGTCGCGTTGGTGGATGGATATATATACGTATACAGCTGCGCATGCGTTTCTCTCTCTCTCTCTCCTCGCGGCACGGAGGACGAGTATGCAGCGACGACAGGAGTATGTGTGTGTGTCTGTGTATGGACGAGATACGCACGCATACATGAAGCAGCGCTACATTCAACCCACCCCGAAGCGAAGCAAAGCACAGAGAGAGAGGGAGGAAACGCGCGGGGGATGGGAGGGGTGGTTGTGTTGCTTGGGTTACTCTTTGGTCGCTGCTGCTGCTACTGCTACTACTTCTCTATCGAGTCAGCAGCAGAAGCAGCAGCAGCAGTAGTAGTCTCGAGGGTCGTCGTCGTCGCCGCGCTCCGCTGTATAAACCGAGAGACGGAGGAACGAGGAGTGTTGGTCGCTCTCTCGCTCTCTCTACGCATACCTCTGTGTTGTCGGCGGCGGTCAATTTGCGTGGCGCGAGGAAAATCTCAATTCCGTACGTTCAATCTCGGTGCTCTCGAGTCTCGCCTATACGTATAGGGAGGAAGCAGTATCGTCCGTTACCGTTCTACACTCTCGACGTCGTGTGAAAAATAAATTGATAGAAATAAATACGAGCAGTGATTTCTCCATCGTCCACCCGCTGAGAGAGAGGTAAGTTCATTTGCCTCGAGTACTTTGGTTTCGCGTGGATGGGTGTGCTTGCTAGAGTATGTATATGTGTGTTATAAAGTTCAACCTCTTTGTTCTTTCGCGTTATATATCGCCTATATATGTGTATAAGCTCGCGCGAGATACGAGTGCCGTGTACGAGTATAATGTATAGAGACGCGCGATGATGTACCCATGACGCGAGAGGCGCAAGCTCATACAGCAGCATGAGATGATACGTTTGTATGTGTATATATACAACGCATAGAATATCGGGTGAGAGGGTGAGCGAGCTTAACCCAAGCACGTATAGCATAATATTTGTGTAGTCGTGGCTTGGGCTCTCTCTCTCTATACAGTAGCTGTATATGTGTGCGAGCGCGTTTATATACTGTGCCTACTATATAATCGGGCACAAGGTTGAAGGGGGTCGTCAACGTCGTCTTCGTCGTCGCGATGCGGGATGAATTTTTAAATAGATAACGTATACACTGCTGTTGTACTCGTGCAGTGTATGCATGTATGTATACCCAAGCACATACTCTTTCTCTTGCCAAATACGAGCTTGCGAGCTTTTTTTTGCTCTCTCTCGAACTTCTTGTTTTTTTTTCTATCCTCTTCTTCTACTTCGCTTGCATTACGTGTGTGTGTGTGTGAGAGCGTTCCGCAAATTGCTCGTCTGCGTCCTATGTGTATACGCGAGCGAGAGAGAGCTTTTTTCGCTCGGATGCACATGCGACGACGAGGACGACGATTGTGAACTCGGCCTTTGATAAATTTACCCTCAAACGCGCGCTTCGATTATTCAATGTTTGTATATGCTAGTCCCGAGTAGGCGCGTGTGTACTGTATAATTATTAATGGGTTCGGTTTGAGACTTTGTCACTTGCAGAATTACGGATAAAGATCCTCGCCATCTAGTGGTGAAAACTTGAACTAACGAAATTTTCAAAACTTAGACTGAATCCAATTATATCGCATTCATTACCAATGACGATATTGATTTTCAAAAATCCCTTTCAAGGTCGAGAAACGATCATCGTCAGATAAAATTCTGCAATCAATTACCACACAATTGATAGATTAACTCTGCTTTATAGAATTATTTTGACTTTGCCTGCACTTGCAGATTTACAGACAAAGGTATGCTCGCCATCTAGTGGTAGATACTTAAAATGGTATTGAAGATTGGTCAAAATTTATTGAAGCAACCACACCGTTATTTTCGGGTTTATTAAAATGCGCTTAAGAAATGAAATATAATTGCAATAGAAAATTCACCGAAAACAAACCAATCGATGGTGAGGTAATTTTAAGGATCGCGCATAAATCACCGCATAATTTTTCCGTTATTTTTTTCTTCTTCGGTCGCTGCATACACGTATAATCGATCATCCCTAGTCTCTCAGCTGGAGACAGCGATTTTTACCTTAATATATCCAGAGTAATAGATGCCAAACAGATAGGTATAGATTCGCGCAGTTGTTTTCTCTCGAGATTCGTAACGTACACGCCCCCGCAAGCTCGCTCTTTTTCGACGATTTTATGACGTACGACTTTAGTAACGTACGATTTTAATAACGTTTACTATGGATGAATTGCACACATGTATTTATAAACAAACTTGCCAACGAAAACAGCGTAAATTTTTGTAATATCATGCAAGTGCACGTACTCGTGCTCGAGGAAGGCGCAAACAAATAAACGCTCCGAAAACTCCGCTACGTACATGAAATGTATCACGATTTAGCACGAACCACGAAAAAAATCCGCTCGAGCAAAGTCAAATTTTGGTCGTAATGAAAATCGCGGCCCACGGACGCGGTGCGTTTGTTTGTTTGTCGCGATATTGCGCGCGCTTTCCTCGGTACATGCACTTGCATATTATTACAATGTGTGACGCGCGCGCGGCCGTCGTTGGACAGTTTATTAATACACATGTCCGGCGCCTATATCGATCGCGACGAGCTCTCTCTCTCTCTCTCTCTCTCTCTCGACATCGGTGCCACGAGATATCGTTGTGTATATTAATAAACGCGCGCGTTGGGTCACACGATATAAAGCGCCGTGCGACAAACATAATATCCCTTAAAAAAAAAAATACTCTGACGCAATCATTTGCGAATTTTGTTTACCCAACACAACAGGTACAAACGCCAAGATGTTCAAGATGGGCCTGCTGAAGAGCTGCTCGTTTCTCAATCTGCGCCAGGGCACGATCCTCATCGCCATCCTGCAGCTGGTGCTGAGCACCGTCATGCTGAACATGCTGATACTCGGGCAGATGCACGAGGCCTGCATACAGGACCTGATCGCGCGCGACACCGAGGACGTGCTGGAGCGCGAGGCCCTCGAGGAGATCACCTCCAAGCACATCAACAGCCAGAGAATGGAGCAGGCTCATCACAACGCCAATGGTATTATGACTTTTTTTTTTCAATAACGATGCAACGAGTTTCATTGTTGTTGTAATTTTTGCACACAGTTAAAATGTACATGATCTATCTGGGCTTCGCCGTACTCGTGGTGCACATGCTGGCGACGATACTGCTGCTCTACGCCGCCGTTATGGTAATTGCTGCTACACGATTTATATCTCACGACAATTATCTTTCGTTCGTCGTTCGACGCATCTTTTTTCGTTTATTTTCTTTCATGTCATCGCCGTGCAGAACCTCCGGTCGCTCATGACCCCGTGGATGATGGTCATGATGACGATGGCCGTCGCCCTGTTCATCTGCTTGTTCCTGCCCGAGAACGACCCGATCCTCGAGTACGCCGGCCTCAACGAGTCCAACTACATCGATCGCTTCCTGCTGGCCGTCATGGCCTTCGTCTGCTTCTTCACGTGGTTCGTCGTCTACAGCTGGTATCGCGATCTCGACGACAAGAAGGACATCGTCATCCACGAGGTGCATGCCACCGTCACTGCGTCGTCGTCCTCGTCGACGGGAGCAATCAAGAAGATGCCCAAGGCCTACTTCGAACTGCTGATGAAGCAGCGCAGACGACAGATGATACAGCAACGTTACCATCAACAGCAGCAGCATCAGCCACTCAACCAGCAGCAGGGCGCAGGAGTTCGAGACGCGCTGCAGCCGCCCCAGGACGTATGAGCCCCGATGATGACGACCAAGACCGCTGCCAGCAACAACGATCCGCCCTATACGGGCAGAGAGACGGCCGTCTAAAGGGAGTCAAAAATCAGTGTATGAATAAAAAAATGATAATATTAATAATAAATGTACTGCTGCGTGTGGAAAAAAATTGCATACGCGCGTGTCCCCCGGAGAGAGACGAGGAGGAGGCGGCTATTATACGCACGCGGCGCGTCATATTTTTGGTACGTGTTTCCCATATACCCGTGTTGTTGTCGCGTAATATGATATATTTGTATTTATTATGCGCAGCTCTCCATATCAAAAAAAAAAGAAAGAAAATATTGTTATATATCGGATCGAACGTAAAAAGCTTTTTGCCATCAGTATTATATTGAGAAATGGTCTTTTAGTCCTTACATTCATCGCCGATATGAGAATTACGGTTTTTGAAGGATTTCCCCGGGCTTTTATGAGTTGTTTATGAGAAAACCATACAAATGAAAACTTTCAAAATTGAAAACTCGATGATAATTAAATTTGTCGAAGTTTCGCCGATGTGGAAGCAGACAAATATATGTTTATTGTGAAAACCATATAAAGTAAAACTTTGAAAATTTTAAATTAAATTAAAAATTAAACTCATCAAAGTTTATCCCGTGTGGAAGCGAGCTTCTTTGAGACGACGCTAATGAATTACCTGATAAGTTTACTTTTTAATTTAATTTTCTATTTTCAGAATTTTACTTTTTATGATTTCGCCGGTAAGGATTTCAGTCTCTTCGAGAAAACAATCCAATGAATCAGTCGGCAATTTTCACTTTAAATTAGGTTTTCAATTTTAAAAGTTTTAATTTATATGGTTTCCTTACTAACTTATAAAACAAGGAATGTCCTACAAAGTCAGTATTATTATTGTTAGTAGAATAATAACCCTAAATACGCCCTATATGATACATCAAACGAGAGTCTTTTTGACCCAAGATCTTCAAAAAGTTAAAAATCATGTGCAATTAACAATTACTGTCTCATGATAATATATATTCGCTGTCGGATCGGTATAATAGATAATTTCCAAAATTAATTGGAAATACAAATGTTCAGTGGATTAAACGTGTCCTCCTGTAACTGTTCGACCGCTTTTTTAATTGCGAAAAAAAACGTATTTTACCGATTGACGTTTGGAGAATATAATCGTTTCAGATTTCATTCCTGATCGGACTGAGAGTACAAAACAAAATTTCGGTTTGACAATTTTGATGCCGCTGATTTTCAACGAAAATAAAAATGAAAAAAAAATAAAAGGATTTTTGACGCCTGATTGTGATATCTATAAATATTATGTATAACTATAGTAATAATACGATTAAAAAAAAACTATCATACACGAACACATCATGTACAGCACTGCGTAATGGTAAAAATTGCTTGTAAACGTGCATAGAGAATCTCACTAAAATTACACAGACACGCAATTACACATAGTTTATCAACGTTCCGTTCCATTGTGAAAACGTACAAAATGTATGTATCGATGATTAATAATTGTCTTTTTTAAAAACGCACAGTGTGCATTTGATTGCGTTGATTAGTGCGTAAAAGCATATAAGTTTTACGACAAATTTTTCGATGTTTTATTGTAATAGATAAAATATTTAGATGTTGAATTGTATTACGGTAGATTTTACATAAGCAGCGGAGTTACGCCATTATAAAGTATTTGTGAATAACCGATTTTATCGATTTTCAAACAATCAAAATATTATCGTACAATATGAATATTTGTGTATCTTTATAGTATATATGTAGAATAACGTATAAGTTGTTTCAGTTGTTTATGGTTTTAGAAATATGTATTACGTACATTTTATTTACTGTTAAGTTTTGCATTTTTATAAAAAAAATTTTAATGATTACCATTATATAAAAGGTACACAAAATAATTTTTTCGAATTAGATGCACGGGACAGGCATTGAGTGAAAAAAAATTAAAAATTAATTTTTTTAAGGTAGAGTACACTTTTTATAAGAGTGCACGCAACGTAATACGAAAAATGCTCAAAATTTATCGAAATAATGTATTAAAACTCAAAAGCTTACACTAAGACTATCGATTTATTCATTTCTTTTCGACGACACATGTGTATATGTGTAACAAAACAGTCGTCGAAGTTCGCATCAATAATATTATGCAATAATGTTTTTAAGTATAAAATACGATGAATGTAATATCCAATAAAGCATTTCATGTGTTTTTTGCCTCGAAATTTTATTCAATGTAATTTATCGAACGATTCGTTACCAGCAAACATTATTTTTCGTTATACATCTTTTCATATCATGATTATTATCGCAGTGCGATATTCATATGTCGTTTTGATTTTTTTGGATCATCAAAATTAATACAATTCTTCATATAATAAATTGTTACATCTTTCTAAAAGTAAATTATGTACAGAATATAAGTATTCATTGCTAAAAGGTAAAACAGTCCGACTAACACGAGAAGAAGGCTCGGGTACATTAATTTGCAAAGCTAACGACGTATCAGTATCACAAGTGAGATATGCAGCAGTCCTGTTGCTCATTTATAGATCAGAGTTATGATAGAGAATGTATGGTTTATAAATATATATAAATTAACGTCAACAGTCTTTTTCATAATGCATTTGATGTGGGTAAGCTACGTTTATGCTTACCATAATTAGATGAAGGCTATAATTAATCAACAAATGTTATACATATATAAAGATACGTATAGACTACACTATAATATAAACATTCAAAAATTTTCAAAATTGATTCAAAACTTACTCTCTAATTAGTTATATTTCGAAGTTTCTTTTATCATGGACTTTTGCAGTTCAACATGATTGAATTACATTTACTAATGAATAGATCAGAAGAAATATTAATTTTTTTACCATTCAAAAATTTGATTTACTTTAATAACAGAAATACAAAGTCTAATTTAACATTTTATAGTTTGTATAGACTTATTTAAACATCAACGAATGTAGATGTGTTTAAAAGTTTTCAACAAGTTTGCTCTTTCACAAGACTGACGTTGACGTTAATTTTCATCCAATCATTGAAATGAGCAGTATTCAATTTTAACAATGACTTTCAAATTCAATATTCAAATTAAATTTCACTTTTGGACGTATTCGCATCTTCATATACCTTGTAATTTGTTTTTGCTAACTTACAATGGATAATCACACACGGAATGGAAGTGATGTCGTGCAAAGCACGTATTATATTAAGGATGATATTTCACGCGATTATTAGTCTTTATTCCCAAATCCAGGAATTTGATAGTCACAGTTTGTCGTCGGTCAACTCCAAAAACTGCGCATAAAAATCCCGTGTACACTCTCCCTTGTTATTAAAAACAAATTTGTAGTAACTGCCATCAGCACACACAACTAAAATAAAATGTCAAGAATTAATCATATAATCGAAGATTATGATAAACTTTGTTTTTTTAACTTATCAGTTAAAAGTCAATTAAGGTACGAATAATAACTAAAATGTTACAGTTTTGTTTACCTATGATACTGTTGTTTGATCCAAATGCACACATACATTGAGGCCCACCTGGGACTTGAAATTTGCAAAAGCTCCAACTGGAACTAAAGTACTTTGGCAAAAATGTAGCTGAAGCTAAGCTAGATTGACGATTCAATTTGTGATCTTCAACACCAAATATATGAACTGTACCATGATCGCTTGCAACACATAGCCATGTTGAATCATGATTGAAATTTATACTACAATAAATATGTTATTTAGTTTTTGAATATCATAAACAGATTTTATAATGTATATAATTTTACCAGTAAATGTTGGCATGATTTGCGCCTCTTCTCAACTCATTAATCATGTTTCCACTTTGAGAATCAAAAACTCTTATTAACGTGCCTTTTTCTGAAGCTGTAGCCAACCTGGTACCCTGTAAATTTAATGCTATACAAGCTAAAGGTGTCTCATGAGCTTCTATATCTAATGGTTGTTTCTCTGTATTTGCCAAGTCCACAACTGCAATTAAAGAGTTTTTGATTAAAAATGAGTGGTTCAATTTTAAAAAATAACTGTAATCGAGCTACCTTGGACATGCCCACTTTTTCTTCCAGGGAAAGCTAATAATGAATTATTACTATTTGGACAAAGTACACACAGTCCCTTTGGATTTACATTTGTTTCAAAAACATGAAGCTGCTGAGGGTTTTGAGTAAAAGTATAAACTTTGATCACACCCTCTAAAACAATAACAATACGGTCCCTTCTTAATTTCACACCTTTAACAGGTGCATTGAAGTCTAATGTTATTGCTGGTGCTTTCTTTAGATCATCCCAAATTACCACTAAAACATATCAAGTGATGAAATATTTGACCAAATGAAATAAGATCAGAGTATATATTACATATTTATTCTATATATTTACCTTTGTTTGTTGGGTACATGGGATTTTTGCCTCCACCAACAAATGCCAAGTAATTACACCGAAATAGCATTTCGACGTAGCCTAAATCTCCTTCGCCAAAGTCATGGCGTTCTTTCTCTTTCAGTGGATCGCAGTTGTAAACTCTGTAGCCATTTTCCATGCCGCAAGCAAAACATCCTGCACAAATAAAAGTTCTATTTTAAGATACAGTCATTAAGTGATATTTTATCTGTATAACAAGCACGCCGGTTGCTGTGTTTCGCTACAAAACTTGGCACTGCAGTCTTACGTACAAGTAATAATTTATCTTACATTTACATGACTTTATCTGAAGAAGAAAGAACTTGGCAGTATTGCTATAAGTATAAAAGAGACCAAACTATCAGACAAAGTATGACTCAATTTTATTATAATAAATTAAAGATATGTTATTTTATTGCTGCATGCTTTTTTTTTCAAGTGGAATAAAGTTAGTCCCAGTGTATACGACGATTAAAGAACAATCGCCAGAACATAATATAAAATGCTTCATTAGCATAAACGAATGAAACGGCGTCAAGAATATATAGCTTCCAAACTACAACAAGCGAGAACAATTTTCGCGAGAAAAGAGTCTGGCTCGTAATGTGTCATATAGTCGCAGCACACGCACGCACACACTCTTACCCTGATCTTGATTGAAGCCGGCATAAATCAGGCCGTTGCCGTAAGGATTACCCGCGGTCAGATTCATGATCGTCGGTGCTCGCCGCGCGCTCGCTCGTTGATAGTCACTTAAATAATATACGATATAAATCGATGTACTGGTATATAGTAAGTTGTATCGGCTGATCGAGACCACTCGCAAATGTCAAATCAAACAGCAACGAGGATCATTCGGGTTCGCTGCACCGTTGACAGCTGCGTAGTGGCACGTCTTCGTGATCGTCTTCTTGGTAGTAGTAGCAGTGCATTGCCCTTTGTTTACTATAAAACGCACGCCTACTTTTTATTATATTTTGTCTCCGCGCGCACAGCACACTGCAGCTTATATACCGTGACACCGAATCATTCGATCGGAACTTTCATACTACGAAAAACGAGTGTGTGTATTTATAATAAAATAATAACAGGGCTTCGGAGCTGCATCGACGCAGGAAATCGATGTGTGAAATCTTCCGTAGCAATCGCAGAGGCAGGTACACTTCGGAGTCGAGCTCGCACAACGAGCTTCTTATGCACAGAGAGATGTAATCAGCGCGACAATTTTTAGTCGCGAATACGTTGTATACACAAAAAAGCTTTTTGACCGTCGCTGCTGCTGCTGTCTTCGTTGACTGCACACACACAGTACTTGTACACAATTGTACACAGCGGTCATCTATATTCACTCCGCGACTTGTGCTGCCAGTACCTACTGTGCACATAGACAGAGCACGAAATCGTACTCCGCGACGTTGCGCCTGTGTAAGTATGTAATGTAAAGAGAGTAGGTGCATTCGAATTTCGACGTAACCGGTGCGAGCTTGGGGGATTCGAACGCCGCGATGTTTCCCAGAGTTCGAGCGCGGCCGCGTTCGAAAATTCGAACTTTCCGTTGACAAATCGCCGCATCGCAGTCGGAGTCAACGGAGCGCGAAGATCGCCGTAGAGTTTTTGTAATCGAGAGAATTCGCGAAGTTCGATTAGATATTGAGATTCTTTAAGGTGCAAATTTAGATAGCAAAAGTCGGAGTAAAAAGAAAATAATCCCCTAGGCGCGAGTCATGCAGTGTGTATTACGCGCGATGTGCGCTGCAAACAGACCTCCATTATTTTGGCATGCAACACGCTAAGCGGCAAATAATAACTTTACGAACATGTGATATTTTAATTCGATTACTGACTAACGTAATGAGATTATTTAAAGGATTAAAGTTGAATTAATCATTGCTACGAGTTTTACAGGTAATCTTTGGACTTAGTAGCTAACCGTAACGAACAGTTGTAAGTTGACATTTTTTTTCGCGCATAACCTTCAATTTTCTGTTTTGAAATGTTATACTTTGACATTGAGTAATTGTGAAAGATTAAAAGTAAACGATCAATAATGTTTGAAACTTTATCAACCAATGCATTTATAGAATAAATTTATTATCTCCATCCATTATTACGATTGTAAATCAGGTGACAATTCCAATTTTTCATGCTTACAGGTAAATCTCTGCAATGGGTAGTACAATGTTGCTTAGAAAATTCAACACCTTCTCTTGTCTTATGAAAGAGAAACCAACCAACTTGAAAGGGAAAAAACACAGCTCGCAGCAATGGATCGTGAGACAATTGAAAGATCCCTACGTAGAAAAAGCTAAGCAACACAATTATAGATGTCGGAGTGCCTTTAAACTCCTTGAAATCAACAACAAGCATCACATATTGCAACCAGGAATGAACGTAATAGATTGTGGGGCTGCTCCTGGAAGCTGGACTCAAGTTGCAGCGCGTCTAGTCAATGCAGATGGAAAAATGTTGGATGAACCAGTAGGAAGCGTCATAGGTATAGATAAACTGCCTATATATCCTATAGAAGGTGCAACTTTACTAGCAAATATGGATTTCACTAAAAAAGGAACACAAGACCTGATAAAGCAATGTTTAAATGAAAGGTTTGTTGATGTCGTCTTGTCTGATATGGCACCCAATGCAATTGGCATGAAAGAAGCAGACCATGAAAATATCATCAAACTGGCATACTCAGTTTTTAAATTTGCCCTGGAGGTATCGTCATATGAATCTACTCTAGTTATAAAAGTATGGGATGGCAATATGAGCCCTGCGCTTGAAAAAGATTTAGAAATATTTTACAAAGTAGTAAAAATTGCAAGGCCTCAGGCTACCAGAGACGAGTCGTCAGAAAAATTCATCATTGCAAAAGGTTTCAAAGGATTGAAAACTCAAGCCAAAGTATGAATTTTAAGTAGGTCAAAAATTTTGTACATATGTAATAATTATAAATATAGCTTGTTGAAGTTTTGACATTTTAATACACATAATATCATTTATACACCAATCATAATTTAAGAAGAAAGGAAAAAGAAGAAATCTACAAGCTTAAAGCATTATAAATTCTTGTGTGAACAAGCAACATGAGAAGCGATCGAAATTAATAAGATTTTTGAAATCCGAACACCTTGACACGAAGCAGCGGTGCTATAATATGACGAATAGCCGTCATTGATCATGATAAAAAGCTCGACAAATTCGCGCTTCTCTCTCTCTCTCTGTACTTAAAATACCTCGCGTGTATGATGCGAAGTAACTCGAGAACTTTACTCTGTCACCAAAAAATTTTCCGCTGTACACGTTCAAAAATAACTATTTTTCCTATGAATACAATTTGACCCAGTTAATCGGTCGATCTCTCTCTCTTTCGCGGGGTCGTCGTGCCGTAATACTACGTGATGAACCTCGCGCGGGCATAAATAGTTCGGTCGTGCGGGGTCAAGCGTACTGAGAGCTTTTAATTTTTTTTTCTATACATTTTTTGAAAATGCGATGACGAAACGCGTTACCCATCAGGTATATCACGCGACGATCGCGATGGGCGACTATGATCTTCGGTCGACGCGAATCCGAGCGGTAAAGCAGATCTCTCGCGCCAACGCGAGATGCCTGCCTTATCCGTCGCGGTAGTGTATTTTCGTCGCTCCGACTCCAAAAATCGAATCGCGGGTTATTCATCTCTGGTTCATCGAATGAAAAAAATAAAAATGTGCATCGCATCTTCGATACCGAAATGCGCAAATGAATACACCGTCATATTATTCTATCGTACGCTCGCATGATAAATCGGGAGAGCCTATATGTACGAGAGATAAAAGGACGATAATGCGATTGTCGTTAAAAGCTTTTCGTACGATGACAATCGTGCCGGGACGTATTGAATTTTGAATGAAATTTCCGCGACGCGAATCAACGAAATCGAATTGTATACGCCGAAATCTGTGTGCCATATACGTGCAGACATAGTGGAATCGACGCAGCTCGTATATAACGTATTGCATTTATATTTTATACATCGATTGATAAAAATATAAAGAGCAGAGAGTACCGAAATATCGTCGCATTGAGTGCATAATTGCATCGACGGTCCTTCCTCTCCCTTATATAGCACGTTATAACGCAACAACAACGCCCGAAGCTCAACCTCCTCCCGCTCGTTGTTACGTGTGCGCAGTACTACTATATGTGCCCCGTTACGAATGAAGATATTAGCGAATTAGCGTGTGTAGAAAGAGAGAGAGAGTGCGGGGCTGGGGGTCTTATATGTGCCGTAGTATACACTACATATAACACGGGCAAGAGAGCCAGACTATGGACTATATAGCGAAAATTTAATTCATCATTTCGGTAAAGCCATTTCCTTGACGCTCCCTCGCACTCGGTGCGTGGTACTGTTTCATACGACGGTGGCGCATAGAGCAGTCTGTTATTTTCCCTCGGGTATATAAGTACAAACACACATACACAGCGTATAAGCGCGTTACATGTACACGAAGTGATAGAGAGAGAGAGAGAGACCAAATCCTGTAGCCCTCGAGCTTGCGAGCGAGCGACAGAGAAAGAGTAAGTGTATGTACGCGGGTGCGATAAGCTTGGTTAACGCTGCTGCTGCTGCTGCTTGTCCCTCTGTCGGCTGCACGTTGCTCCTTTTTTTTTGTGCGTGTTAGCTCCTGGTGCGTCCAATTCGTTTGATATGTAAACGCACCCACGCGCGCGCGCGCGAGCCCTGACAAATTTCATTTCACGTGTTGTATACTGGTACATACATTCATGCACCCGGTGCGTATATAGTAAGTACATGAGTCTTATGTAGCACTTTGCCGACCGTACTAACTAAAACGACATGTGCGTGCTGTGTATTGTATACAGGCGTCCCCGCATGCGTCGCTGACTTTTCGAGAGTTTCACGCTTAGATACACTATAATAATATTGGCGGCTCCGAAATTTTTCCGAGCTCGTAGTTGAAACAAAAAAAAGAATGTTTAGCAGAGCCACGTCAGAGCGGATGTACGGAATTTCCATTTTGCATCGATGGGGAAATTTGCGAATAATAAAACAATCGAGTCACCCGTTCATACGTTAATAAGCGAATGATAACAAAAAAAAGTATACGCCACACATACACTTGCCGATCGATCACTAAATTACTGTCCGAGTGTGTCTTCGTGTAGTTAGAGTACATAATGCGCACCGGCGCTTACGCCCAAATGAAAACATTACGTTGATATAGAGCAGCAGCAGCAGCAGCATCATGAGGGGTACGTGCGCGGTAGGTCCATTGCTCGCACCCTCCTTACGTATTTGCTGCATCCTCTCTCTCTCATTTTCTACACATATAGTCCGAGTCCAGTACTCACCGAGGGGGGAGACTGCGATAATACCTTCCGGCAGCCGTGACACGCACGCCCACGCGCGCGCGGCACCGATGATTTATTCTTCCGAGGGTTATTTCCGAAAGGCAAACGCAACCTGCCCATATGTAGGTATAATGTAGACGCTATAGTATATAGCTTCTCTCTCTCTCTCTCTCACTCTCCCCCTTGCACACAAACACGCATGTTTTAATGCGATGGCCTGTGCGTCAGGTGTTCTCCCTTGCACGCGCGCGTAATCACGCGTGATTCGCTCCGTCTCTATCTCTCTCGAGCCTAAACCGTACAATAAATATAAACTTTGTACTTAAACACAAAGTCGGGTTGTCCTCTGTATGTATTTGTATGCGCGTATGTGTGTACCCAAAGCTGCTGTTGATGCTGCCGCTGCAAATTTATTTAATATGGATGTGCGTAAATATGAAAGCTCTCTGTGCTTGCGCTGCGCCGCGTTTCAAAAGCTCCCGCTATACTTCTCCTCCCCTCCGGGTGCGTGTTTGTATACGCGTGGGTATACGAGCTTATAATCGTATCGTCGTTGGATCCACGTGCTCTCTTCGCATCGTATATATATAATATCTCTAGCGCATCAGAGCTCTAGCATATTTATAAACATATCTAAGCAAACACACACGAGAATATACACGCTTTATATTTTGCTTTTGCGACTAGAGGCAAAATAGCGAGTAGCGAGAGAGAGAGAGAGAGAGAGGAAGGAAAAAAATTTATCGGCGAACGTGAAAGGCTTACTTTACTTTGCGCCTTCGACCTCGTCGTCGTCGTCGTCGGTACGGAGAGCTTCCATTACTTTTTGCCCCCACGATCCTGTACGCAGCGCGATATCATCGTAAATTCGTCTGAATAATCCAATGCGCCTCGCCGCGCGAGCTAGCTAGTATAAGAACACGTGCGGGCTAGCTTTCGATTTATGTCGAGATGCGTCTTGTATTAGACGACGCGGTTTCGACGTCTCAACTTTATTGGATTTTTGAGCGAATTTCTTCTTTAAAAAAAAAAAAAAATATGTATACTTGATGTGTTTACATTCGGTATCCTGGCTGTTTTCTTGTTTCTTTCTTTTTTAATGGTATAAAACTTATTTAAATCCAATTCTCTTCGGTACAGCATTCCGAGCTTTGCAAAGCACGAAGAAAAAAAAACTATTGGTTTTCGGAGAAACTCGACTTTTGTATACGAGCCCGTGTGGCCAAGTAAACTTGACAAACCCACACACGCTCACGTATATCGAAGTCACGTGAATAGAAGAAAGTAGCTCTCGACAATGCCCGCCGCTATTGTACACTGCATACACGGAAGAAAAGCGACTTTGGCGGGCTACTTTTATACATCTATTGCATAGTTTGACGCAACCTTATAACGCAGCGCACCGACACATTTTCTATATACAATATAAAAGGGACTGCACGTCTGGGGTGGCAAATGGCATCGCGCATAATCCAACGCATGTGCACGACTATTAAATATTGTATACGTATCACCCTTTGTTAATGGCCATATACGCGGATGCTCTACCAGGCTCTCCTTTTTCGGGAATCGACGCGCGGGGGTGTCCCGAAGCTTGCCCCAAACGATGCAACGCACCCGCACGCACACGCACACGCGTAATATATAACGCGATTATATCTACGCGCACTTTGTGTGTTTTTCCTTTCTATCTCTCTTTTTTCATTTCAATTTATCAAAACCTACATTTTTTCCCCCCAAGACTCACAAACGAAAGCGACGCGGAATTTTTTTTTAGTTTAGTTTGTTTGTTATTTTACGTTTGTATCTCTGGAACCGCTGCACCAAAGGGAAAACCCGATAGTAATGTTGCGTATACATCTCATATTTTTTTGCGCTTTACCGAATTTGCGTCTATCAGGGGTATCTCTGCTGTCTATATATACAACGGCTGCTCTACGTACTCGCTCTCGTTTCGATTAGAGAAAGACCATTTGCAATTCCGAGTACACGAGACTCTAATTTGCTTTTGTACTCGATGGAAATACGGATTTTTTTTCTCTGTTCTCTCTCTGTTCTCTCTCTATCTCTCTTTCTTCTGCTGCTGCTGCTGCTGCTGCTGCTGCTCCAAAGTGTATACACAAAGGAAGTATATCATTCTTTGATTCGAAGAAATTTACTTTAGCAGTTTACTTTTGCAGCACAAACTACCTTTCTTTACGTGTATAGATATATTTATATACATTACACCGGAAGAATCGCTGCTGCTGCTGCTGCTTTCCTTCTTCGACGGTGAAATTATCCGCGGAGAAGCAGCGGCAATCTCAATTCGATACGATATTGACCGCAACGTCTTACTTCTAATTTATAGTAGATATACGTGTCTCGTCGAGCGATGACAGTCGATATACATGACGTTTCGTATGTTATTTGGATACATTTGAATCGTAATCCATGACGATTTCAATGATTTTCAAAATTTATTGGTCCGATTTCCATTTTTTTTTTCATCTGACGAAAAGAAAAAAGAACGAATGCAATTACTATCGGTTCCCATGATCGGTTTCCAGCTTATCTTTCCTTTGATGTGGTTTTTTACTTACTTTATGATCCGAAATCTCGGTGACGAAGTATAAATTCGATCGTTTCTTCATCATGTATAATCTTATCGACATATAAGAGCACCTTTTCTGGATTATTATGTGTTTTTAGGATGCTATATTTATCGTGACGCGCGTGACACCTGATTTTGTAATTGAAATGGAAAATGAAGAAATATTTATCATTATACACATATGTACCTGTTGGATCGTTCCACTTCTTACGTCGCATCTTATTCGGTCGAGGTGCGCGTGGGTACGCACGTACTCAACCAGACAGATATAATATCCACATTGGATTGGGCAGCAATTTATTTTTCACGTTTCACGTGCATGATTTACTCTTTACCCATACACGAATCTTTAGCATATCGTAATTAGCATATATACTTTCATTTTAGCTAAGCAAAGGAAAAAAGAACTTAATTATAAATCCCAAATCGATATATAACATTCGTCGTTTCCTTTTTCCGGCTCACACGCGAACGATCGACTCACGGAGTCGATCCGTGAGCGATGATGATTTTTTTCTTCTTCTTCAACTCTGCGCGTTTTCCAATTTTGTGTTTTCGTACGAAAAAAAAGTAGAATGACTCTCGACGCGTACGGATAATGTAACGAGCACACGTAAAAATTAGCGTATTCTCGCGGCTACATCGCAGACTGGCTGCTGCTATATGTGCTGTACCGCGCGCATGCACATGTATGTCGATATAATCGATCGATAACGTAATCGCGATCGAACTGTACATTTTCTCTCACTGACATCCTTCCTTATTTCGCTCCTCTCTCATGCCTGTGGCCTCTTACTCACGTCCTTTTTAAGAAACCTTCTTTTTTTTTCTTTCCTCTCTTCATCTTGCGCCTACTTGATTTTTTTCCCTCCCTCTCTCTCTCTCTCTTATTCGTCTTCTTTCCTTTCTCTCTTTCCGTATAGCTTCGACTCTGGAGATTCGCGAGCGCGGCACGGCGTCGAGGCGACCTTCTCACGGTAAATGTGCAAAACGTCGGAGAGGAACCGCAAACACATCAGCAGCACGGCGCAGGCAGCAGCAATGAGATAGTTTCCGATGCACATCGGAGCGCATATAAACGTGCAGTATATATATATACATGCAGCAGCAGCAGCAGCAGCAGCAGCAGCAGCACCGAGTGAAGCAAGAGAGTATACGGCAGAAAAAGGGAAGGGAGTCATCGTGTGTGTCTGTGTGTATGTGCTATGCGGCGCGCGGCGCTTAGCAGCAGCAGAGCCTGGCAGGCAGCAGGCAGGCAGCTCGAAGAGAGTAAAGCGGCAACAGAGAGTCAGTCGCCAGTCGAGCTTCGTTAAAGCGAGAACGCGAGTGAAATTTCACCGTGTGTACGTACACTTTGATACACACGCGGTATAATAACGATCGCGAGAAAGGAGTACACCGATCGTAATAAAAAAAATATATATATCGAATGAAAAGCCAATTAATTCTTTTCTATGCGAAAGCGCGTTTGATCAATTTTCAACGATTTATATAAAATAATTATAAACGAGCCTGTCTCTCTGTCTCTCGGAGTTCGGAGACGTCATTGAACGGAGAGTGAACCGATGCAGCAGCAGCAGCAGCAACAGCTCGGCACATGAAGAGATGGCTATGAAAAAGAAGGCGAAAAAATCATCAAACAGGCTTCTGCTCCGAGTGGATTCCGCGATTTCTATATAAAATTAAAAGAAGGAAATTAAACTGCAAGAAAGGAACGAGTGAAAGAGCAAAATATATCTATATCATAAGCGGACGCGAAGAGAGGTGTTGGTGCGTCGTGCGCGGAGAGTTTTTTATTCTATATGGGTCAAAATAATACTTTTTTACAAAACCGTGCGCACGTATGTCACCGATCTTGACGCGCTTTTGGTATGTTATAGTACATGGTAAAAAGGTCCCAAAAAAAAATTTTTAGACCCCCTCCCCCCTCCTACCCCCCACTTCCGGTATAAACGTCCATTTTCGATCTATATTTTTTCTGAGGACATGAAGCAAGTAAAAAATCTGAAAAAATTCATAAAAATACTTTTCCACAATCCAAACAACCTTGAATTTTTTCAGATTTTTTGAGTGCTTCAGGCCTTCAGAAAAAATTATTGAAAATTTCAAAAATCGAGATACGGCGGTATGAGCCGATGTAGTACTCGGAAATTTTTTCAGTTATTTTTCGCATTAAAAAACATAACCTCAATTTTTTTCAGATTTTTTCAGATTACCTAACGCACCTTTTGAAGCCAAAAACCGATTTTTTTGACGAAAATAATTTTTTTAGGACAGTACGGAGCCTCGAAAAATCTGAAAAAAATTTTTTCTTGTTTTTTTCATCAAAATACGTAATCTCAAATTTTTTCAGATTTTTTAATTGAAGGCGATAGCTTCTAGGGCCGAAAAATGCTATTTTTAACAAAAAATGGTTCCTAGAACCCGATGGTTCCGGTGAAAAAATTTGAAAATATTTTTTTTGAATTCCTTGTCAAATTTTAATAAATTTTGACCGTTTCAAAAGTTCGATTGAAGCTTCCTAGCTCATTTTAGAGCATCAAACGAGTTTTATCATTCCTTAATGTCTTCAGAAACGTCTTCAGATATTTTGCACTAATCTTTGTCCTGCTCTAAAATGAGCTAGGAAGCTTCAATCGAACTTTTGAAACGGTCAAAATTTATTAAAATTTGACAAGGAATTCAAAAAAAATATTTTCAAATTTTTTCACCGGAACCATCGGGTTCTAGGAACCATTTTTTGTTAAAAATAGCATTTTTCGGCCCTAGAAGCTATCGCCTTCAATTAAAAAATCTGAAAAAATTTGAGATTACGTATTTTGATGAAAAAAACAAGAAAAAATTTTTTTCAGATTTTTCGAGGCTCCGTACTGTCCTAAAAAAATTATTTTCGTCAAAAAAATCGGTTTTTGGCTTCAAAAGGTGCGTTAGGTAATCTGAAAAAATCTGAAAAAAATTGAGGTTATGTTTTTTAATGCGAAAAATAACTGAAAAAATTTCCGAGTACTACATCGGCTCATACCGCCGTATCTCGATTTTTGAAATTTTCAATGATTTTATCTGAAGGCCTGAAGCACTCAAAAAATCTGAAAAAATTCAAGGTTGTTTGGATTGTGGAAAAGTATTTTTATGAATTTTTTCAGATTTTTTACTTGCTTCATGTCCTCAGAAAAAATATAGATCGAAAATGGACGTTTATACCGGAAGTGGGGGGTAGGAGGGGGGAGGGGGTCTAAAAATTTTTTTTTGGGACCTTTTTACCATGTACTATAACATACCAAAAGCGCGTCAAGATCGGTGACATACGTGCGCACGGTTTTGTAAAAAAGTATTATTTTGACCCATATATAATATTCGCAACACGCGCGTACGTCGAAACGAGTTTACATCTGCTGTGCGAGTATTCGCATACGTGTATAAATATATACCGTACCAGCGAAGCCGGTGTTTTAAACAAAAAAAAAACTACGAAAAAATAAACAAATAAACAAACAGATCGACACAGACAAACGCGTCGTCCCTTTGACAATTTTGACGCTGTGCGACGCGGGGGTGGTGTTTTTGTGCGCGCAGAGATACAAGTGCCGTGTGTGGTGTTTCGTGCGCGCGGCTCGCCCCTCTCAATATCGTCTCTCAACCTAGTGCCGATTTTAAAATTACCCGCTCGCTCGCTCGCTCGTGCGCGCTTCGTGTGCTTCTTCTTCTCTGGCGAGACAGAAGCAGCAGCAGCAGCAGCAGCAGTGGCGCGTATCAGTCGTCGGTCGTGTACGGAGCGCCCATACAAACAAGAAATTTTTGACAAATTTTCCATCGTCGTGTGACAGGTGTGTGTGTATTAGTGTACTGATTCATATACGTATATGATGATGATATAAAGTGCCGTGCGTGTGTTTATCATAACAACGGGTGACTACGACGACGACGACTACGACTACGACGACAGCCCAGTAGCAACGCTAGTTTGACATCGGCGTTGATTACGGTGTGGCGGCTGGCCCCGAAGCTCGTTGAATGCGTGACCCGCCAGCGACATATACATTGCGTTAACGGCGTGTTGTTACGGACACACACCGACACACTGAAAACGGTGAGATCGAGTTTTGTTTACTGCACACACGAGTGAAGGATAAGGACAAGAAAAAACAAGAAAGAAACGAACGGAAGGATAAAGGAGTGAGAACTGCAGCCACAGAGAACACGAGGGGTGAGTAGTAGTTGTTAATTCTTTTTTTTTGTATTTTTTATATGTATATTGTAGTTGTTTGGTGTTTTGAGAATCTAGTCCTTATATTATTTCGTATATTATGATACAATATATAGAAATGCGAAATTACGCGCGAACAGCTGTACATCATAGGTACAGACTTTATTGTTCTGCTCCTTTCTTTGCTTTCATCAAGCTTGGGTGTTCTCTCGTAAACCGCAAAGTAGGAAGCACACGCAGACAACAACGACAATAAAAAAAAAAGGAGTCGAATTGTCAAACCGATCACAATCGCATCCATCATCGTTGTTGCGATTCAGTCGTCGCGATCGAGACATTTAACGAGCGTCGCGCATCAAGTTGATCATGAAAAAAAAAACTCGTCTAGAAAACGAATTTGCCTATACGTATAGTGCAACGACGACGACGACGACGACGACGCAGTCAAGGAGGTTGTGAATTTTGCAAGCGCGCGCGCCTATACTGCGGAAGTCGAATGAATTTTTGCCGATTAAATCATCGTGTTTACCCACGCCGCAGCGGCAGCGCAGCAAAAGCTGAATATTTTTCTTCGAAATCGGTCGCACAGGCCTTTTTTTTTTATTATTTCTTTTCTTGCCTCATTGATTCGCGTTCGATTAAAACGCAACGCAGCGGCGGAGACCGTGCATTATACGCGTATAATATGTATAGTGGGCAGGCTATATATTATATATGGGCTAATTAAAGAGCTATTAGTCTCGGTCGCTCGACGCGCAGCAAAGTATATATCCGTCGTCTCTTTCTTTCTCAAGCTGCCACACATACGCAAAGTCTCCGAGTTGGTAGGATATCTATAAAGCGACAATTTGCGGAAGCTGCTTTGGCAGATCATCTTTCATCCGTTGCATATAATACACATATACGTATACATACATGGCACTATATGTACTGCACGCATAGCGCGCATGCATGCATGCGCAACAGTATAGTCGCATACGTTATTAGCTTTTCTAATTGACAAGCGCGCGGATATATAATGCATACATACATGTCGTGCTGCTACTTTTTGCCTACGCGACACTCTTGTGTGCGCGCGGCAGTGTGGCATTATTCGATTGTTCTTCCAATAAATATCAGCTGTTGCGGTTTGTTGACAAAACACGAGAGGGAGAGTGAGCTGCAATTAAGTTCACTCTCTCTCTCTCTCTCAATAGACGTATTGTTTTCCCTTAGATGAATTCTCGAGTCGATGCACGAAAAAAAAAGTACGCACATCTATTATACATAGCGCGATTTAATTGTGTGCGTGCGTAAATTATGTGTCCGTACACACAACCACGCGATGTGTAAGCGAGCATAATAAATAATTACGGAGCACGAAATTTTGACATTTGTTTTGATAATTTTCCCCAGCCCGCGTTATCTATCCCATGCGATTATACACCGCGACCATACGATACACACACGTCTTAACTATTATAACGTACACGCGCACGAGCGTTGATCGTCACAGAAGCATATCCTCGAAAACTTCTCTCTTTTAATCGCTCTCCATGCGTATCTCTCTCTCTCTCTTATTCTCTGATCGAGCTCTGATTTTTTGCCTCTCAGTGCCGAGTGAGCAAACTACTGGTCATTGGCATCGTTGCCGCCGCCGCGCACGATCACACACGCACTTTTTTTTTCTTCGTCTAAATCCGCGAAATAAATAATCCCCTCCGACGCGCTACACTGACGCGGCTTTGTGCCGCGGAATCGATGACTCGCGGTATTATATGCGTTATATATATAATACACATCTAAGCGCGGTCTCTCTCTCTGTCTCTCGCGTTCACTCGCTATTATACTTACTTGCTACTTATATACTTGCCACACATTCGCGCTTAACGACAAAGAAATCACTCGCTGCTGCACCGAGAGCGAGGAAAAAAAATGGGCAATTCGAGCGCGCGTGACAAATGCAGCAGCAGCAGCAGCTCGGCTCAGCTCAGCTCGCGGTGATTCTAGTGAAATACTCACTTGTACACTCCGCGTGCCGTTTCCATGTATAATATCACACAATCGTACAACGCGCCGCGCGCGTAGTGAAAAATTTTCCTAGATTACGGATAATTTCGCGTGTGCGTTTCGAGGCTGCAGCTTTTCTTTTTTTCTCTTTTTTTTTTTTTGAAAAGCTGAAAAATATAATTCGCAAATCGAGAACTCTTTCTATATAATACAGCAGCTGCTGTGTGTGTATGTGTGGGACCCGGAAGAGCTTTATAATCACGCTTAATATACGCGCTGAGCTTTGATTAACGCGCTGATTCTCTTCTTCTTTTTTTTCGCGATTGTTACGCGGCGGGGCCTGCACTTGGCGCTTCTGCGTACATGCATACACTCACAGACACACACACACACACACACGAGCATTGCGCGCCTTATTTACTCGCGCACATTCATCTAAGGATGTGGGTTGTGCTCTTGTTTCTAATCTTAGAATTTCCAACACGTGCTCGTTTACGCGCTCGTATAAGATACGCGATTTTCTTTCTCTCCGTCTTTCTCTTCCTCTTTCTCTCCTGGCTTTCGGCCCGTGGAACCCTTTGATCTCTCGTCTCGTTTATACGCAGACAATTCCGCAGCGAGCTTTATATACATAAAATACATATAGATAGATATATATGTGTATTATTATGCACGAAGAGAGCCCTCGTTTGTTTGTACATCCGTAATTAATTTTTGGTAATTATTAATGCGCGACGTGCTAATGCGCGTATACCACGGCGATACATAAAACACGCGTCGCGCGCACCCGCCACATGCCACGCGTAATTTATAATTAATTTTCGCAACAAGTAGTAGTAGTAGTAGCAGCGAGCGAGAGTGTTAAAGGCCATTTCTTTGATTTTTTGTCGAACGTCTGGCCAAGCGGTAATCTAGCATCGCGTTGCATTTATCAATCTCAATATGGATGCATTTTTAATTGATCGATAACTCTATTAGCTCGCGTGCGTATATACCACTACTGCTGTTGCTGCTCGTAAAAGCAGTACGAAAAAAAGGCAGCCAGACGAATAACGCTTGCTCATGCAAATGATTGATATAACCGCAACGTAATTTTTTTTTTTTTTTTCGTATAAACAGCAGACGCGTAATAATTCTTCGATTCATTTCCTGCCTCTTTTTCGAGCGTATTATATACCCTTTTCAATTTTTGTTTTTTCGGCAAACGAACCTGTGTCGCAGAAAAAACACAGCGCGTACTTCGATGTTTGTATCGTGCGATACCCGTATATACAAAAAAAATGAGATGAAAATAAATAAAAATTCAACCAAACGAGTGTATACATAATCGCGTTATATTTGCTCGGATAATTGTGAGAGCTAGAGTAGAGAAAAATCGTCAGTTGTTTGACTTATACCGATAACGCGTAAGAGACGTCGTATATATCCGATAGCGCACCACAATCTCGCGCGTAACGCAAGACTTAGAAAAAGTATACACGAGAAATTTGACGCATGCCACGATTTCAGCGCGAGCGTCAATCATCTTCTTCTTTCATCTTTTTTTACTCTTTCTCTCATTTTTCCATGACATTTTTTCGATAACATTGTGAACGCGAATATTTTATTTTATTTCGTGACGTAAATAAATATTACATTGTGTCGTATTGTGATCCGAGTGACAGATCAATTATACATTAGTTTGAGCTACAAAATGAAGCATACTAGAAACGTCGTGCAAGAATTACTTAAATAAAATATTTCTTGCTCTGCCAGTTCTTATCGATCTTCGTCCGTTTTGAAATACTATTTCGAATAGTTGATAATGTCGATGAAAAATGCAAGTAGAGCTGCAACGAGTACGAACATAGTCTATATAGTACGTACGCATTACATATAATACACACATAGTTAGGTTGACCCACGGAAATCTACATGATGCAGCGGAATGTACCCGCGACGACGTGACGAGTGTTTTGATGTTTAGCTTTTAATTTTCCCCTACTTATACATACGTACCATACGTGGATGTGTAAAACGCGAAAACAGCTACCGTAAACACGCGGCTCTCCTGCGGAGTATAGCTGCGCCCGGGATGACCGATCATCATCATCATCGTTACGGTTACTTTTGGAAATTAAATCAAAGTGGATTATTTTCTGTCTTTCTTTCATTCTTCTCCGGGCATAATCGGTGAAAGTGTAAGTGTGCCTTTATAATTGCGCGTCGTCGCGACACAATTTCGAATTTCAAATTGAAAACGTCTCGAGCGTTCGTCGTATACACACAGACACACGAGTAAATAATACAAACTACTCATCGTCGTCGCCAACGCCATATAAACATTCGAGTTTAATAATACGACTTCGCCGCATTTCATTGTTAATACACGCGAAAAGTGCAGCGGCAGTATATACCCGCGAAGTGTGTTTGCGCTCGCACGTCGGAACGCGCGCATAAATGAAGTATAACGGTGCAGGTGTTGAATGTGTGCGTGTTATATGCGCCAGTGGCGCAACACCTTTGAAAAATGTTCCCTTTCACAGATTTATAATATGTATAACATTATTATTATGGTGGCGCGCGATTGTCGTCGTCGTCGTCGTAGTAATGATGATTGCTGAAAACTTATTTTGCCGTTGCTGCTGCTGCTGCGTTGCGCGCGTGGATATAGCATTTTAATGCGATTGAAAAAGTTGATTTATACTTCTCATTTTATCAGTCCTCGAGCCCCGCTACATGACGACGACGACGACGCGACGTGCCTCGGGTACATCACGCGCAATTATCAAATTGCTGCACTCTCTTGGTGCAGCGCAACCGACTTCATTTCTTCTCTATAATAATATATTCGTGATACGTGTGCCCATCGCACAATAACTTATTATACACGTTTTTTTTATAAAACATGTATATTCCTGTGTTTTGCGAGGATCGTAAATTTGACCAAAGTCGACTATTTCGTCACATCGCGCATTACAGTCGAAATCTCTTCTCTCTCTCGCGTGTGTATATACGCAGGATTGCAACCA